TTATTTCATGATTTATTTCTTCTTAGGCTTTACAACTGTATATCATTTAGGATTTTTTCAATTTTTGTGACAATGCAAAGATTCACAAAAAATCGTAATAGGGTTATTTTTAACATCTATAACCCAATATGAATAAAACTGAGTGTTAATATACGAAGTGTTCAGAAAAGATCTAAAATATTTTCATTCACAAATATCGATATTTCAGTTTTTTTAATTAAATAGAACACTGTGTATTTTGTTATTGTTTGTTTATTTTATTTTATTATTTAATTTATATATATATTTAAACAATATATTACATTTGGTTTACTTTAGTGGTGAATTACTGTCCGTCGTTTGTTTTTAATAAATTAGAAATTCTATCTTAACATTCCTTCATTTTTTTTAATAAATCAAGTGAAATCAAATAATTACGATTGTGCAAAACAAACGAATCTCTAAACGCATGTTTATATCTACTTATAGAATTGATAATTCTAATGCATAACATCAGCCATCCACGTGGATAGATACTTAAGTAAACAAAAACAACTTATTAAAAGTTAATTTAGTAATTCCTAAAGTTGCTTGATTTGTTATAGATTTTACAAAACATACAAATATATGTAAAAATTATGCATGCGAGAGATAAATTAATTCTGCATATATATTTTGTTACGTCATCTTCCACACTACAAAACAGAAATAAAATGCAGAATATCTGAATATCAATCAATAGTAGTTCATCAATGAAGCTGTATAGTGTTTAGGAGAACAATCAATTAACATTTATAAAAAAGGAAAATCAGATAGTTTGTAGTCGGTGATTTTTAAATCATGTTAATCAAAACTACGCCTCAAAATTGAGAATTATTGTTTTTTTGACCCATTTTGCTAGGTAGCTAACTTTTACTTACTCAGCGACAGGTACATAATGCAATAGCGCTGCAATAATGGGATAATAACGTGTATTTAACGTAAAATGTCCTCAAGTTGGCATTACTTGAACAAGGTGTTTTTTTCAACGACTACCCATCACAATGAAGAAGAAGTTAAAAATCTGCTTCATATATTTTGGTTACTGTTTCACCCTTTTCACGATACCTAACTTAATTAATCGTTAGAAAAAAAAAACTAACTTTACGCAAATACTAAATTTTAAGTTATGGGGTAGTAGCTTCGAACATATTAATATTAAATTCAAGGGTACTGATAATTATCAAACGATTTTATCGCAGTTTTCGAAAACACGTTACAGGGGAAGACTCCGACGTGCAAAACGTGGAAGGGTGTTATCTAAAGAAACGTGCTCGAGAAAGTTGTGATAAATTTAAGTTATGTATCACTGCTAGAGGGTTATGTGTACAAAAATATTTTCAAAGTCAACCTGGGAGAATTATAAAATCGATTGAGTAGATTTACCATAGTGGTTCTTTCATTCCACATAGTTCAGACAGCAGCTGCTTTAAAGTTGATACAGAACTTTCATCCTTTGTTCACCGCTTAATCTTTTAAATTGACACCAGTTTTTCACATTACAGCTGCTACAACACCACAAAAATTGCCAAATATTTTCCAACGCTTTTTGCTATTTACAGTATTTCTTGATTCATTTTCTTCAAATGTGTCCGTTTAGTCATTATTTGCATCACTAGACCGTGAAAGTGACATCCAAAGAAACCATGAATTAATTTTGCAATTACGTTACTTACAAAGTTAAACAATCTAGTGATAACTCCCCATGGCGTTCTTTTGGGTAAGCGTTTCCTTAATTGGTTAGTTTAGTCCACATGATTAACAATATATCAATATGGATAAACTTTCATTTAAGAAAAAAAATTGACTAATAAATTTCCAACAGACGGAAATGAGAGACCTACATTTCGTATTCCTTCAGCTGTGAAACCACAGTTATGGTGATAGTAAATTCCATCCTGATTGTCAAAGTCTTGTCAAGTTGTCATTGTTACCGACAACGTCACGCCTGTACCTAATTCGTTATTAATTACTGTAATGGTGTGATGTCATACTGACAATTGATATACCGGAGTTCTAAGAGCTTTCTTTCAATAGATCAAAAATTAAAATGGCCATTAAAAAGTGTTGACACCTTGACTCTGAAGCGTAAAAACCCGCAAGCTGTGCATTTTATGTAAGAGAATTCGTTACTTATTGAAAACGTATTGATTTTCTGGAGACTCGGTACATAAATAAGCTGCACAATTTCTTATACGGTCTTTCCGCACTAGTGATAAGTAAAAATATTTCGACGATAGTGTCACTAAGCTCCAGGACCGACATTAATCTGATGTACAGTGGATTTTAGAGTCACATAAAATCCATCACAAAATCATTACAAAAGCCACAGTGAATAATTTTTCGGAATAATTTTTTTCTGAATTAGAATAGTCATTTTTAACAATGTTTGTGTATCGTTATTTAAGTAATTAGCTCCCCTTTCGAACATTTTATTATTTTAAATATGATTGAAAAAAAGTTTCACTTGTAAATCTTGCAATGGTGGGGGGAGCCGAGGGTTTAGTTATTTTTATTTCGCACTTGAAGATTTATGTTTAGTTATTGTGGGTAATTGTTTTTGAGCACTTTTACCCGTTTTCGTAGTTGTTTTAGTACAATGAATGAGTTTGAGCTTTTACAAATTTCACCTCTATTACATATTACACAAAACAAAAGCGTGGCGACACCACCCTGTAGATACCGTCTTTTTGAAATATATCACTCATATGAAAAGTTACGAGGTTTCATCAGCATGAAGAAAGTTACCGTACGAATCGACAGTTATTGACGTATATTTTGTATACTGTGTGCAAAAAATAAATAATAAAACGTATACAACAAACGTAAAAAGGTTTGTGTGTGTATCGTATTAATAAATCCAAATTTTACAATTAACTTTAATTTAAATGCAACGTTTATTGTGGAAATTTGTTTGCTGGCGCCCTCTAGACCTCAAACCGGCACTTACATAATAAACGAACAGAAGTTCTACGGAATTCTGAATTTCATGCGACTGTCATTATAATACTGGATGGATAGAGGTAGCGGTGATTGTTTATACATAAACGGGATCCACATTTGACACTGGAAAAAAGTTGGTAGAAAGAAGAGTTACCAAAAAATATTATGCCAGAAACAATTTTTGTAGAAAATAAATTTGTTAGAAAGAAAAAATGTGGAAAATTAATGCACCACAACGAAATAAGTTGCAGATTTCTGTAATGAAAGACAATCAATTATTAGTTTTTTTAAACACATATTCACCACCACATGTCACTTTTCACGCTTGTGATAGAATAATAATAAATATTTTATTAATTAGCACTTTTGTATTGACATTAGTTTAATTATGTATATGCAACCATTGATTGGAACAATTATTTTTAAAAAGTAATGCATTACAATTACTCATTATTCGGTAACAACAGTAATTCATTACAATTACTTATTACTAGAGCTGGGCGGTCGAAATTTATTATTATTTTTGATAATTTATACAAATAGTTTTATTTTCAACGAGACCCACACTTGAAAATTATTAAAATTATTTTTATTATTATTATTACATGGATATGGATTTTAAAATCATCAACATATATTTTACCAAAAATTGAAAAGCTCCATTCCATTCTACCTACAAATAAAAGTTCGATGCCAACTGCAACAACTTTTAAACAAAAATTTGCAATGCTGGGAGATTTCAAAATATCTTATTGGCCATGTGTAAATACATATATCGTAAATATTAGTCCACCGATAATTAAATGCGGACGCAAATCTTTTAATCTTTAATAAAAAGGATGTTCCTAAATACTTAGGGGGCTACAAGATAATGTAATCTTAAAAGTCTGTCTTTAAGTGAGTTTTGCTTGGCGTTGTGACTTACAGATTAAATTTAGAAAACCTTGGTGTGTGGATACTCTCACAAAATTTTGTCGGATTATGAGCAGTTTAAAAGGACGGGCTCTATTGGTCATTTGTTATAGATTTGAGTGGACCAGAAAAACGGCTAAAGTTTGTTGGACCACAAATTTGAAATATTCCGCCCATGTTTACTGAATTATATATTACATATTTTCTTTCTGTAAAGCGCAATGGATTTTTTGATACAATTTCTACAAATTTGGGTTAAAAGTAATTGAATTACAGTAATGAACAGTAGGCGGGAATTTATCTTACGAATGCAATTCCCCAGTTGAAGCAAGGTGTGTTTTACGCCGAGTAGCGGGGACGCTTTGATCTGGTCCACAAGGTCGTAGCCAGTGCGTCGCTAGGAGTGTTTACAGCTTGTTAAAAAACTACTTCTATATTACTATATTACTTCAAAAGATAATACTCGATGCCCTTTTTAATTTTTCAAACACAGGAGCACAGATTTGTGATCTTGAAATGTTATATTATGTTGATATAGTCGAAAAGAAAAATGTATTTGTAATCAAACTATCGCCGCGACAGCACTGGATCTAGCGTATGAAACACAATTCCGCCCGTTGGTAATGAATTACTTCCAACCACTGTATGCAACCAATTATACGAACGAATGGATTTTCTGATAGTTTTCATTCCAACAATTGATTTATCACTAACGGTTCTAACAAAACTGTTTTCGCCGATTTTCGTTCGTGAAACAAACATACGCTCCCCTAAAATATTTTAATTCAAATTTTATTTTCTTTTGATTTTTCCTTAATAATGCGGTTTAATTATGATAAACAAAAGTAAAACACTTGGATTCAACACGTCGCTTTGTTGAAAAATGGAGGTTAGACTCTTCCAAATCTAACATACACTATTCCAAACTAATGACACCAGAAATAATCTTGTTGTTCAATGATCATTTAGAATTTTTGCGCGCATTAGTTTTAATTACATTAATAAAAAAATGACAAGTTACACTACAATGTAACACCATGACATGTTAAGTTTCAGAAGGAGAGAAACTTACAAAGTTTTTAAAATTAAACCATATAATAAAATGAATTTAAATTTAATTGTGACTTGAGAAAAGAAGACACTGTAACAGAGTTAAGCTGAACAAATCTCACAAATTTTAAAATGTACTATATTGGCAATACATTGTACAAGTTTTTGTAGAACTGCTATTAAATATTTAAAATATAAAAACAAGCATAAAATTACACAACAAATATACCTGCAGCGATGTACAAAGCGATCTGTTTATAAACTTATCAAAATCACTGTTTCCTTTGAATCTACATGTCTATATTTACAAAGATCTGAATTTATTACAATTCGCCAGGAAACTTGATATCAAAAGATTCAAATTCAAAAATTATCGAATAAGTGAATAAAATTTTCAGGTACTTTTTACAATAAGTGACGTTCGATAATTTACATTATAAATAGTGACAATATAAATTTGAATAAAGTACGAGTTAGATATAAATAAAATTCTTTTGAATATAAAAAATATAAATGCTTCTAAACTATACAAAAAAATATTGCAGTCAGGGTTTCTATACAATCTCACTGGACCAAAACGTCCTTATTATCAGAAGTACTGCCCTGTCGTGTGGGACTCAAAAGCTCTTGACGATCGCGTTCTCGCTCTCGACCTGGTCGAAACGCTTCCATAAGTGATTGCACCCTTTCTTCGGTTGGTTCCCATCTTTGGTGACCTGTCACGTTCTGCAGCCAAACTATCACTGTTCCGTGAGCAGACCTAATGTTTAACTCAGATCTAAAACCACCATTAGTCAAACAAAACACTTTCAAACCTCATGTACAAACTACCTATTTAAGACATGTTGAAATCCGTGCCTAAACTCGTGCTCGTACGCCGGTATCGTAACCTGTTTCCTTTTAAACTGACTCGCTTCTATTCGTAAAAGAGCGTTAGGCGTCGGTTCCCTGTAATCCGGCATAAGTACAACAAAGCTCAACGGTTCCGGACTTTCACTGAGCAATCTTTCCATATGATTGACCGCGGCTTCCATTAGCTCTTCGCTGTAAGGTGGGTGAACCTCGAAAGAGCCAGAAACAGCTTTCAGCTGTAAAAATGGCCTAGAAATCGTGAGTTTGAAACGACGGGTTATTGTTATTCGGAAATACGTACCCTCTACTACCAAAGTATGAATCACAATCGGCGAAAGCAGAACAATATTGTTTAAAATAACAATTTAAAGGGGAGGCGAAACATTCGAAAGTAACACCAAACGTTCGATTTAAACATTCGAAAACGGTTACAGGTAGTGAAGCTTGAGTTTCATGGACGTCCGAATTGGCGTTGTTCGATGATGGATTTACACCTAAGTATGTGGCGTAACGCTTCAACATTACCCACACTCGGGGAATAAAAAGCTCGAATTTTCTATCGTCGAAACAACTATGCCGGTATAAATGTTCCTAGGATGAAAAAACAAAAAATTGTAATTTAACTTGGACTAAATTTTACCTTAAACAACTTGATTTACATTTTTTATATATTTACAAATAGGAAGTTAATTTATTCTTATGACTAACACAAACACGTTATTACCCTAGCCCAAGACGACAGCGTAACTGTTGAAACGCGTCGAGAGTTGTTAAAATTTTCGGTATGGCGGAGACAATAACGTATTTCTGTTCTTAAAATTAAGTGTATGCTGAATGTTTAATTATAACACGAAAGGGTTAAACAGTGAAGCATTCTGTGAATTTTTTCCTGGCGGTGTTAGTACTTATTAATATATATACAAATATAACAACATTCCTTCTTTGTGTCTAAAATAGTTGGGTCGTTAACATGCAATATTTTTGTAGGACGCATTGCGCATTTCTCCAGTCTCTTTTTTCGAAATTGTCTTTAAAGATTATATTTTTTAAATAAAATTACCGAAATATGATTTTATTTCAAATAATTTTGAAACGGTGTTGAACTGAAATTACTTAAATTAATTAAAAACGGTCATTTCTGTTAGATTATCAAAAGATCAAAAGTTGTACACAAAATGGACCATTTCGGTCAACTTTTAGTTATAACTTGGAGGCTGCAAGTATGAAGCTATTTTTATTTTTTCGACATGATTTTTTCTGAACTCAACAAGAAGTGACTTCACCACATATAACATTTTTCATTTAAACTTTTTCAAAAAACTTTAAAAATATAAAATATACTGAGATTTAAATTAAATTACTTTATTTACAATAAAAATGAATAGTATGAAATATTACTTGACATGTTACTGATAAATAATGATAAACTGCAAAAAATAGTTGTTATATAATGTCAAAGAAGAAATAAAATAAATGATCTAACATTAACGTAATTCAATTAATTGCTTAAAAAATAAGACACCACGAATAAGGAAGCTAAATCTATTTTACTCAGATCTCGGGTAGACCTATGCTTTATTTTACGTGCCCATTAATTGGACACTGTTGGATAATATCGTGTTACCAATTTATGAAGCTAGAGTTCGTTAAACTTAAATTTTTCGAGGACATTAATTTGCTGGGTAGAGTACTACTTGTTGCCATAATAGTTTTTTAACTTATTTAATTTTGTATCTCTTCGTTCCCGTGATTACAATATCGAGAATAAAATAAATCACACCCATGATTTCGGCCAGTTTCAAATTTTGAATGATTCTTCTCATTTTCAAGTTTTCAGCTTTTTATGAAATTATGATAAAATACATAATTATCTATACATATTCGCCCTCTTGCTCGTTACCAAGACAAAAGAAAAAGAGTGGGAACAGAAGCAGCATTTGCATTGTACATTCTATTCTTATTTTCAAAATTTCCATTTACCACTATATTATTGCTTGCAATTTTTATTAATTCATTCGATACACCGGGTTGGCAAAAATTCAAAGAAAATATAGTAATAATAATAAATAATCACGTCTCATTTAACATTTTTACAGTTTTGCCGAACCAGTAGTAGCAGATAATTAATTTCAACTTTACAAAATAGCCAATATTTAATTTGAAATGAATTGCCATGTTTTAAAATATTTGGATATGGTTAATTACGGATTAAATATATTATTATTGTTTATGCCCCAAAAACGTTAATTATAACTTGACACAAAAATCAATTATTTCTCTCTCATTTGGTAATTAGCGCATCAATATCACGGAATGCGATAATAAAACCGAGCTTTTTGTTGTAAACGCGATGTGTTTTGAGTAATGAAAATTGAAACCATCACATTTTTAATGTGTACGTAAATGCGTTTCAATATTAATTGAAAATATTTATAATTTAAAGGTTTTAATTCTTTTAGGACGACCTCCAGTTTATTTGTATTGAGAAGGGTACGTCGTTAGTATTGATTATAGACTTTATTTATTTTTGTTATTAAAATCAGTCACTACAAAATGTAAATATATGTGAATATGTTACAAATTTTAATTAATAAAAAATTTCAGCACCTAAAAATAGCGGAAACTCATGATATATTAACAGGATATTGATTAGTTTCCAATATGTAAAGCAAAACTTGAGAATATAATTTCGGTAGAAACCGTTTTCTTTGACCCTAAAAATAGGAGTCCCTGATTGCCTCCAAATACAAGAAAGATCTTGAGTGTAAAAATTAATACGTAATGAAATAAAAATATTTAATAAAGCTTAAAACACAACTTACTAATTTTTGGAGATGCGTGCTGTTGATAACAAGCGTGTCTCCCTGAAATCGTAATAAGGCTTGATCTCTGTCGGGCAAATATTCAACAACTGGCAGTCTAGGACATCCGATAACAAATTGAACAGGGTAACACCAAACTTTTCTAGTCGTAGTCATTGGTATGACGGGCGGGAGTTCCATCCCATGCTCTTTTAAAATAGCATTAGATTTTTCCCTAACTTTTTTGGCATATTCACACGATAAATTGTAAATTTTCAAACATATACCTTCCACAGAAGATTTTACCTAAAACAACAATATAATTAATACACAAGAATTTACAATCACATAAACTTTTTAATCAACTTTATTCTCTTATTTCAATTGTTTTGAAAAAACAAAATTGATGTCACTGTCGGGTAAACTATACTATCAGATAACTTATGCTAAAGTCCATTCATACACATTACAAACGTATTCGTCATGATTACTTGAACAATCTTTCAGTAACAAAATCCCCGTGAACTAATGATATGCTTGTGAAATTTTTACACGTGTTCGCCTGTATCGCATTTTCTTCAAAACGAAACAATTTTTTCATCTTTGATAAATATCCACGTCGCGATTTTAGCAATTTCACGTAGCAAAATAAAAAACCACTTACATACATATAGCGACATATGTTGGATATTTACCGTTTCTGTTAGATGCGGTTGGCACTGTTGTTTCAAATGTGCTAGTCTATCTTGAAAATCATCATACGTCGCTCCCACAGTCTTCCTAAGCCACTGAAACGTTTCGTCCACATTCCACTTGACAACTTTCCGACTTTCAGCTTCAGCGTTTCTCGATTCCATAATTTTTTTTGCGGCCTCTGCGTACCGAGATAATTGTTTCCTAGCATCTCCGGTAAATTTCGGTCTAACTAATTTAATAGGGATATCGTTCATGATTTCTTTATACATAGATAATGAGATTTCTGGATAACAATTGCTTGGCAGTAAAGGATCGTACCCTGAAACAGAATAAATACGTGTCGTTATTTTTGGGTCGTTACTTGTAAACTTTACGATCTAAATAATGCATTTATGGTTTTCTTTTATATTCAAAGAGTTCATTATCATAATATTGTGTTGCAAGTGTGGCCCTGGAGGAAGTTTCTGAATTTTAATTTAAAGACGCTACAATGTTGTCGACGAAAATATATTTAAGTTGATTTTATGGAGCTTAAAGTTTAGTTCAATTAATGAGATTAATATTAACGTTTCGTTACAAATTCTACTGAAATATGTCGTTTTTGAAAACTTTTTTTTCAGACGTATTTAAACGGAGCATAAGTTAAATGAAGATTAACATAAAAGACGTGAATGCCATATTTTCAACTTTGGAACATTATGCAATTAAGCTTGATAACTTATTCCACCGAGTGGGGTGCACTTATTTTTTTTTAAAGGTTTGAAATTGCATATCTAATTACAGGAAAATTATCCACACTCTTAACCCCGTGTTTGCTGCCATTATGAGATTTGTTTGAAAGATTGCAGGTTGTGATAATAATATGCACATACATTTCACAAGACGCAGTATGAATAATCCAAAACAAAAATGTATTTACAATCCTTGGGATGGGGTCATATCACATATTATTTGGTTAACGAAATAAATGTTAATTTTTTTAACGAAAAGATTTTTATGGTTACCTATTGAATAACTACGAGTACTTTTCAAAATTCAAAACAAGTGAAATTTGGTATTGTAGCCTAGAAAAGCAAAGGTTTGTAGTATCCTATGATGTAACAAGTTACCACTACTCTGTACTTTTAAATTGCTTGAACATGTTTTGAGTGGATCTTTTTATTAGTCTTTCTATTTGTAGTTTCAGGTTATGAGGGCGATAATAGTAGAATATGTAATAGACTTTTATATTTTATCTCTATTATTAGGAACATCTTGGCTAGACTTTTCTCATTTTACGGAATTTAATATATGTAGTATAAAATGGGATGAGTCTTGCGACGTTCGGCTACTAACATTTAATGGAGTAAGGTTGATAAGAACTAACATTTATTCGAAATGTATTATTATGGACATTGACATTGACTTTTACCTGTGGATAATAACAGTGTATAATGATAATTTTTACATCAGTATGTAGTTGACATAACTTTAATCACACAACGTTTTAAACGTCTTTTTAAACTCTACATTTATAACTTGATTGAGTCTGCTTATGTATATAAAGAAAACACTACAAATAACTACATATTACTGGTCTAGTTCAAACGCGGTTAAAAAAAATATATATAAAAAATTAAAAGTAAGTTGTTTTTATATTCTCTATATTTTGTATTTTTTTTTTTTCTTAATATGAGTAGTTTTTTTCACAACAAGAAACTTAAAACATGTTTAAAATGGTAAATTTTTGCAGGGAAATATGGATTTTGCAATTATACTACGCCCCTCGATGAGTCAACGAATGAAAAGTTAATCACAAATGAGATCGGGGCGGGTATAGGTGGAGCTTAATTTTTGGCTTCCTTTTTTACTTGGTAATTATAGTTGTATTTGAACACGTTTTTTAAAGAACATATTTCAGATGGTAATTTCTTCGAGAAAAATAAGGATTTTGCAATTAAGCTCCGCCCCCGGCTCACGATGATTAAAAACATTAGCAGCATTAAAACAGGGCGGGTGGGCGGGGCTTATATTTAGCCTTTTTTACTTAATACACGTTCTTTTTTCATAACAAGAAATTTAAAACATGCTTAAGATGGTAATTTTTTGTAGGAAAATATGGATTTTGCAATTATGCTACGCCCCTCGGTCTGACAACGAATGAAATAATTAATCACAATTGTCATAGAATAATAGCCATAATACAATAATCCAGTATAATCTAGATAATTTTGCCCAATTTGCAAGCACTTACGAGTTATCAAGTTTTTAAATCGTCACAGTCGCCAAATAAAAAAAAAGTCGGTCGAAAGTAATTAAGACTGAACTTCCCTTACCTCTAAAGTATAGTCGAACGAATAGAGCTTCTTCGAAAAATATTAAAATTTATTTTGCGAATTTTATTTTTGTCTTTATGATAACCGATATAACTTAAAATAAAGATATGTATCGCCTATTACAGTCCAGCTAGAGAAACTTGCTATGCAGACAATATTAAATTATTATTAAATAAGCTACAATACTCAGCTTAAGTTAATGAATGCGGTGACTAAGATTTGGTCTTTAAATGTTGATCTACTCATCGGTATGAATGATTAATTATTAAATCGTCTAAACACACAATATTTCTTCAAAATTTCTTTTATGTCAAAATTTAAATAATCACCCGATACCACATAATATATTAAGCCCTATTTTTCGAACATTTATGAAATCATTTTTTTTTTTTTTTTAGATAACTTCATCATTTTTTTGTAAATATGAATAGATTAATATTGACATGTATAACATAACATTGTAACATACAGCTTTAGTTCTTTAATAATGAAAATTGATCAATTGACTAAAATAAACGAATCATATTTTTCGTTCCATTCTCTCTAGACTCATGAAGTTATTGCAACAATTTTCAATACCAAACAAACCCCTGTAGAAGTCGTTCGATCAAAATTCATTATTTTAAAACTGGGAAACTGTATGTTCAAAATGTTTTTATTAATAAAATAATAAAATAAATTGGGTCATTTTATGTAAAGAAATAAATATCGATATAAAATATCTTGGGGCAAATTTTACAAATTTTATAGATGGGCGTAACAAAAAAAAAAAATTTTAAATTTTACAACACAATAACTCAGTCATAAAGGATTTTATTAAAAGATATCATACTTCATAATATATGTATAGTTGACACGTGTTGCACGTATCCAACCCGGGTACAGTTAGGTTGGTAACGCAGTTCAAGATTGTGCAACCCATTTGGTAATCTGAGTGAGGTACTGTTGGTAGCACTATTTTGACTACTTGTTACGCGGGAACGAAAGTTTGAGTTATTAGCCAAAAGTGCTACATTTGTACAACCAAGAAACGAGCATTTTATACAAGATGTACACATTTTTTTCTACAACTGTTATAATTTTATTTCATAAAGTTGTACACGTTTGCCTTTGAATTATGTAAATCAGTCGTATGTTTAACATATTGAACTATTTCTATTACATTGTTGAAGCATTTACCATTTCTGTTAATAAATTTATACTTGGGTTGCTAAGCAATAAAAATTCATAAGCTCTCAGTAACAAAATCTGTAATAAATTTATTGATATCTTATCAATAAATGACTTAATGTTTCAGTAAGTATCAACAAATTTTCCTTGAATTTGGTGGAACTGTCACCTCACCACCTAACTTCTAGCTGTCAAAATTGACAGGGTTGATAGTGACATTTAATTTAAATCAAAATTTGTTATCGATTATGATTAAAATGTCATAACCTAACTTTCTTCAGCGCTTAAAAGTGACATGGCGCCAACCAAGAAAAATTTCTCAAAATTGGTTAATTCTATTGCCAACTTAAACGGAATTTTGTTGACCACACTGTACTTTATATATTTATGGTTTTGTTTATTGCTATTACTGCTCCTATGACTAATAGAAGTCATAGAAGTAGAAGATATAGTGAACCAAGAGTTATAAGGTTATATGGCCATCATAAAAGTAGTTGACCGCAAATAAATACCCCCTTTGTGTGGTCGCACTAAGCTTACCGGTTGGCAATAAATCATCTTCTAAACATTTCTTGCTCATATTTACCAGGGCCAGCTTTCAAAGCGAGTGGTTATTTCGGAACCCTCAGCGGGTGCAGGTAGTAAAGAAATAGTGGAGTGGTGGATTTTCATATTTAGTGAAAGCCGCCCCTGAACGAAACCACAAGAGCCGGTCGAGCTGCAGTAGACACGTTATTTACGACCCTAAAACCTTTTCTATTGTAAACAACTTAACTTCGACACAATGGGATGATTTTATGATGGCCATATAACCTTATAACTCTTGGTTCACTATATATAGTTTTAACTCACTGTAGGGCATTTTGTTTTGTTGTTAATGAAGTTATGCATCTTTTATCAACAATGATGACCTCAATCACTCCACATTACATAAACAGAAGCGACATAAAGATATTCCTGTTTCATAACATGTAACTTTGAACCTTTAAGAACACATATTGTAAACCTTTACCATATACCATATTTAATTCGTTGGTGTTTTGTAGTGTATGTGATATATAACGATAAAAAAAAAAAACGCTCGGTTAATGATACTTTTAAGTAATATTTAATTTATTTATAAATCATGTGTAAGGATCAAATAAAAATAAAAGTAAACGTTAAAGGCATAATAATTGGTTAAAAATGCAGATACCTGAATCAATAACCTTGCGTTCCATCATCCACCTGTTGAAGGAGTCCTTCGGGGCATCTATAGACTCTCTAGAGTGACATAACTCTTGATAGCACTGCCTCAACTTGGCCAAAAGACTGCACCTGTAGGCCTCAACCTCAGGATGTGAATGCATGTAACTACAAGGACTTCGTTCTAAAATGATCACATTTGTTGGCACATCCAAATCCCAAGGCCCTGCAAGAACAAATTTTTTTGCCTGTGGCCCATTCAAGTCCTCTGACGCTCTTCGTTTGGCCACAGGCAACGGGGTCGTAGGCAAAGGAAGACTCGGGGGCGGCGCACAAATTCCCAACGGATCGGTGATCGGATCGAACTGGGGCTTAATCATAGGCATTTCCCATAAGCTCTCTCCCGTTAATTTGTTCCAAAAGTACGGGCGATTTTCCCTTTTCGACCAAAATTTCCTCCAACCTTGCTGGGTCAGTTCGAAAGGCAGGTCGAACTCTAGGCCGCCGGGGTTGATGGGGGCGCCTTGGGGGGTCGTGGGGATGGGCATATTGACGTGCTGTGGGGGAATAGGGCTCACGTTCGTGTTGTCCAGTGGGGGCCAAATGGGCCGGCCTTCCGGACCCTTCACGTCGATCTCCTCGTTCATTGTTTATGTTTGTATTATGGTGTTGTAGAGCCAGGATTTTTCGTCAAATGACCACTAATAGTCTCTCGTTAACGCGTCCATTTTGTTTACTTTCACTGGGTACTGAAATTTTAAACGGTTTGGTTGGGTTAAATTCGTGTTTATATTACGCGATGCATTTCATTCATGATTTACGCAGAAAATTTTGGTACACCTCCACCCAGACGCCATTTGCTGACTGAGAAAAACGCTAAAAACATTCCGTTGTCGAGCGGTACGCCAGAAAATTAACGCGGATAGAGGCGGAACTACGAGAAGAGGGCGCTGTTTTCAGCCATGGGCGTGCCAAATAAGGGGCTGATTGAGGTTGCTTATTTTTGCATTTTCGATTCTGAATTCACAGAAATAGAGATTATTAATTAACTGCCCTAGAAACTAGAGAAAATAAAGGCGTATATATACCGTTCAGAATGTTTTTAGATAAAGAATGTATATAAAATGATACAACATTATATAAAATGGTCGTTTAAAGAATACTAATATCTGCTCCTTTCAGTTATACAACTTCTGAAATAAAAAAAAATCCTCAGTTACTTTTAATTTTGGTGGAATTATTTTTTAAATTTAATTTCGAAGTGATATTGAACCATTTTGGTAAATCCAAGTTTCGTCGAGGTACACGAATGTTAAATCCTCACAAGAATTTAGAAACTGCAGGAATTTTCTCAATAAAGTAATTTTTGCTGCAACAACATGTTTTTGTTCACATACAATTTTGCGACCGTTTACCTCCCTATGTTTTAACCCATCCATTTCAGAATTTTGAACAAAGTTGTTCGCCTCCCCTTTAAATTCCAAATCTCCAAATTAGTCGTTGCAGTCTTTTCTAAATACATAATTTAAAAAAGTGTCAGTGGGTTTTCGCTTGCCAGCAGATCCAGTTTTCAAAAATTTTCTCTGGAGTTGGGTGACTGAGCTATTAAAATTTTTTAATTAACAAATATTTAAAAACTTTGAAAGTCACAGGAAATATGTTCACTATTCCCATCATTAACTCTTCACACCTGAGTTGGGGAGTATCTTTTTTCATTTGTAGATAAAACCTTTTCACTGAAAATTTTTGTTGTAACAATATTTTCAGCATAACTTTTGCAGCTTGATAATATGATTTCTAAAGAACTAGATTTAATAATACCATAATTGATAGTAAAAATTAATAGTTTATTTATATCTCTAATCCTTGTTACGCCAATGGCCCTAAATATCAAAGTTGATAATTTTACGTCACGTCAACGTGAACTGACATAACCTTCAAATAATTTATAACTTTATAAGTGCTCACAGATATACAGAAGAGTTGTTAATATTTAATTGTCTGTTTTATTTATGTGAAAATGGGGAAAAAACGCAATGGTAAAAATAGTCCTTACTGATTACATCAATTATATATTTTTTTGTAGAATTTTCCCACTTAACTTTAGAAGAAAAGAAAGTTATAACAGTCGCCGAAATCGTACAACTTTTAATTAAAGCACAAAATGAGAAGCGAGACGTTAATTTGAACTCTTTAAAAACACGTATTTCAGCGAAATATGGCCTGGAAAGTTCGCCACGTTTGGTTGACATAATCGCAGCAGTCCCAATTAACTACAGAAAAGCTTTGGTTCCAAAACTTCTAGCAAAACCAATACGAACTGCGAGTGGGGTAAAACTTCCAACTAATAAACTTAATATAATCTAATTCAAACCTTTTTAGATTGCCGTAGTTGCTGTCATGTGCAAACCTCACAGATGTCCCCATATAAATATGACTGGCAATATTTGTGTATACTGTCCCGGTGGACCTGATTCAGATTTTGAATATTCCACCCAAAGTTACACAGGATATGAGCCAACATCAATGAGAGCTATCAGAGCAAGGTATGACCCTTATCTGCAGACTAGACACAGAGTGGAACAGTTGAAGCAGTTGGGACACTCAGTTGACAAAGTTGAGTTTATTGTGATGGGTGGAACATTTATGAGCTTGCCAGATGACTATCGAGATTATTTTATCAGAAATTTGCATGACGCTTTATCAGGACACAAAAGCAGCTCTGTGGAAGAAGCTGTAAAGTACTCAGAGAGATCCAACACTAAATGTATCGGTATTACTATTGAAACACGTCCTGATTATTGTTTGCAGAAACATTTGTCAGATATGTTGAACTATGGATGTACTAGACTTGAAATAGGTATACTTTGGGATTTTTTGCATCCATTTTGTAATTTTCATGTTTCATAGGTGTACAGTCTGTTTATGAGGATGTAGCTAGAGATACCAACCGTGGACATACTGTTAAGGCAGTCTGTGAAACTTTTAATTTGGCAAAGGATGCAGGCTACAAAGTTGTAGCACACATGATGCCTGACTTACCCAATGTAGACTTGGAGCGCGATATTGAACAATTTATTGTAAATGAATATGACATAGGGTGCATATTTTTCTTGTTCATGAATATTTTGTAGGAATTTTTTGAAAATCCAAACTTTAGAGCAGATGGATTAAAAATTTATCCAACTTTGGTGATCCGTGGTACTGGTCTTTATGAGTTGTGGAAAACTGGAAGATATAAAAGTTATCCTCCTTCAGTTCTTGTTGATTTGATTGCAAATATCTTGGCTTTAGTTCCTCCATGGACTAGAGTATATAGAGTTCAAAGGGATATACCTATGCCTCTTGTTAGGTAAGAGTACAAACAAGTGACAATATTTTTTTAGTACCTGCTATGATATGATAGATTTTGGCAAATGACATACCTTCTAAGAAAAGAAAGGATGGCTAATTTTCGGACATAGTTGAAAAATGGTGGAAAATGTCAAAAGTGCCAAAATCAGTCTTATATTATCAAATACTAACCCCGCCCACCCACCCTCTGTTTTCTTAGAAAGTGTGTCATTTGCCAAATTTATTTTAGCAGGTACTAGCCCCACCCACCAACCTTCTCTGGTGTTAAAGGGTATCTCATTTGCCAAAATTTATCTTAGATTAGCAGTTACTAATCCCACCCGCCCACCCTTTCTTTTCTTAGAAGGTATGTCATTTGTTAAAATCATTCTTATACTAGCTAGTGGCTGCGGGGCTGGTAGCTGCCAAGATAAAACTAATTTTGGCAAATGACATAGCTTATAAGTAAAAAAGGTGGTGGGTGGGCGGGGTTAGTACCTGCTAAGATAAAACTGATTTTGGCAAATGACATATTTTCTAAGCAAAGAAAGGATGGGTGGGCGGGGCTAGTACCTGCTAGGATAAGACTGATTTTGGCAAATAAAATCCCTCTAGAAACTTCAAATCTGACAGCTAATATTTTTATACAACTTAATAAACCAAATTATTCAAGTTCAGGTTTACCAACTCTCTCAATCAATTTTGATGACTCTGTATATATGTAGTGCAAATGTAATTCAATTTTATAATTTCCCGCTAGTTAAATGCATGTAACGACTAGACTTCCTAGAAATTTGATTATCATGAGTCAACCAAAATTTTAACAAAGGCAGTTATATTGACTCTCTTTTATTTGCTTATGCCCCTTTGGATCAATAACGGGTAGCAGCTATTAAAAAACGATGACTAATGCGAAAAATGATACTCATATTAGATAGAGACAGAGTATGTAAATACTTCCCATTTCATAAGCTCCAGTAGTGCCAACTTAAAATTTCGCTTTTTGTATTTAGCTCAGGAGTCGAACACGGGAATCTCCGAGAATTAGCTTTACAGCGAATGAAAGATTTAGGACTAAAGTGCCGCGACGTAAGAACCCGTGAAGTTGGAATTACTGAGATCCACGAGAAAGTGAGGCCCAACGACGTTGAATTAATAAGACGCGATTATTATGCAAACGGGGGTTGGGAAACCTTTTTAAGTTATGAGGATCCAGAACAAGACATTCTGATTGGCCTGTTGCGGTAAGTCAAGTCTGCGCAAGTTAAGTTGTCTTTACAATAAAATCACTCCAGGTTGCGAAAATGCACTGAACAAACAACATACAGACCTGAACTACGTGGAAAATGCTCTGTAGTGCGCGAACTTCATGTTTATGGCAGCGTGGTACCTGTTAGTGACCGCAACGTAAAGAAATTTCAGCACCAAGGTTATGGTTCACTTTTGATGGAAAAAGCCGAAAATATAGCGATTAATGAACACAAATCGGATAAAATTGCCGTTATTTCGGGAGTAGGAACGCGTAATTATTACAGGAAGCTTGGATATGAACTTGAGGGGCCATACATGGTGAAGTCCTTAAAGCCTGACTTATATAAAAGCGTGTTCAGTTGTGTTGATGGAGCGCCAGTTCCAAAAAATAGTCCAACTTACACGAGAAAAAAATGGACACTGAATGATGAAGAGTGGTTGGAGCAGTTTGATGCAGAAAATAAGTAATACATTATTTTATCATTATAACAAATTTGGTTCTTTTATTTGATCCCTGATTTTCAAAAGTACTTTAGTGTGCCAGGTGTCCAAACGAGAGAGATCATCATATTCTCTAACAGCTTTGCTAAAGCCGTCTTCATCTGCATCTTCAATAGACTCGATGATTCTTCTTAAAAGATGAAATTGTCTACTGATCTCAAAATTCGGATATTTCTCCACATACGTCTTCAGAGCATGTTTTGCATTCAACAGATCAATACACAAGTGACACAACACAGCTTTAAACAAACTATCTTTAGCGTTGTACTGTAAGATCTGCGTCTTCAAGTCATAAAAGGCGATTTCTTGATAAATATTGATCGCTTTGTTGTAGTTTCCGAACTCCGATGACGCATAGTCGGCGACTTTCAACAAACATTTCTTCGAGTAAACATAATTATCTTCAACTCTGTAATAATCAGCTGCCTGCTCATAATGTTGCACGCTTTCCTCCAGTTCTAGACCTTGTTCGTACAGTTCTGCTATTTTATTGTGCAGCTTTGCCGCCATCGTAAAGCGACCCAAATCTACGTAGATTTCTATAGCGCTCAGCAGGAACTTGATGGCGTTGTTGACATCAAATTTTTCGAGACATTTTGCCGCCTGAACGTAATCATTGGCGGCTTCCGAACGGTTGTTGTGTTCCAAATTTAGATCACCTGACAATTTATAGGCCGTACTTGCTTGAAACCAGTTTTTGGAAAGTCTGTACAAGTTGCCTGCTTTCTGGTAGCACTCGATTGCGTCTTCTGTGCGGTTCTTGTAGGACCCGAAGATGGTCTGGAAAAAACTTTTAGGAGATAACTTCTTTTCGGCTTCTGAAATTAATTGGCGAGCTTGTTCTTCAGCTTGAGAAATTAACTGGCGGGCTTGGTCGGGTTGAGACATGTCGTGATGTAGTTTTATAAATTAGTGTCTATTTTGACATATCTGATACACAATGTCTGGCAACAGACGAATTTCTTATACACAATAAAACAAACACTGTAGCTCTGTAGGGTACTAATTCTTACAGATAGGAACCAGCCAATATCGTTTCAAATTTATTATAATTCAGGGTCATACAAAAAACACTAACATATCACACTAGATCCTTGAAAAAACAAGAAAAAAGATGAATACAGTTTACAGCAAATCAGTTAATTCTTCAAAACTCATTTAAATGTACGTAAGTACATTAATAAAATTACTGTCCTAAAAAATTCGGAAAATATTTTACAAAATACTTCTACTGAGGATTTGGCTGTGGGGCGTAATTGTACCCATACTGTCCCTGCGGAGGCGGCGCTTGTCCTGCGGGAGGTCTCGGATACTGATACGCCTGAGGCTGTCCTCCATACTGCGGCTGTGGAGGATACCCAGGTTGCGGAGCATACCCATAATTACTGGGAGGGCCTGCCGGAGGATACCCTTGAGGTGTATTAGGAGTATACCCCCCAGTGGGATTTGACGGTTGCGAGTTAGGTGGGTAAGGAGGTTGGTACGGTTGGGAGGTGGTGGGAGAAGTTGTGGAAGTGACTGCCGGGCTCTGGTTACTATTGGGAGGGGCTGAAAAAGGCGGAGACTGAGTATTATTAGGTCCGTAGTTCTGGGGAGATGTGCTTGGTTGGTTAGGATATGACGCCGGGGAAGTTTGCGGTTGGCTGGATGGAGGGGGAGGAGCGTAGCCCGGCTGGGGCGGATACCCTTGCGGGTAGTTCTGAGGGGCCGTGGAATTGGGGTACGGACCGCCGTTAGGGTACGAGCCGGGTTGAGATTGGGGCGGCCCCGTCGGAGGAGGGTAGGGGCCGGCGCCCGGCTGGGGCGGGGCTCCGCCCGGGGGAGGCGTGCCGTATCCTGGCTGTTGGTAGCTGTTGTGCGCTGTTGTCGATGGTGGTTGTCCGTAGTTTGCTTGAGCGTTTGAGGGGGGATACACGGGAGGTTGATTTGCGGGATATTGGTTTTGGTGGGGGTAGGCGTTACCTTGAGGGGGGTATTGGCCAGGGGCGGGGTATTGGTTCTGTTGGTAACCTCGTTGGGGGTAGGGGTTAGCGGGAACGCCAGGTCGTTGTGGTCCGGGAGGCTGTCTATAGCCCGGTTGTTGTTGATGGTTAAAATTATTCATGTGTTGCTGATCAATGTTGGGCGGTTGACCATGCGTTGGTGGGGGTGCCTGCGTTTGCAACATCTGAATAGAAAATAGGTTTAAAGAATGGGGGAGGTTAATCTGAAAACTAGACTCTTATACAATAACTAATTTTCATAACGATATGGTTTTCATTAATTTAAAAGCTAGATGGAGACAACTAAATTTTATAGTGGTTCCAAGTAAATGGTTGGCTTGCTTATTTAATTCGTGGTGATATTTTTGTGGTATTTACAGGCGATGCTTGAGTTGAGAATAAGCTGAATTATATAAAAAAAGAACGATGACTGTTTTACATTGACGATTGTTTAATTCAAATAACACCAACCACAAGGCAAACTATTACTAAATTTCTCACTAGATCTAGATCTCACTAGATTTTACCAATTTAATTTATCAGAACTTATCACTTAACCACTGTTAACTAACTGAACTACGATGCAATATAAACCGGACGAAATTTAGTCATGGTTTCCAGTTAATCGCGGTTAGCTAACCCAGATTAAAAAAGACATTCGGTGGAAACGGGCATGAGTTTTTTCTGATAATAAAGTGGTGAAGGTATTCCAAGCAGGTGGTGTCTAAGAAGCTGATTTTTACTACACTTCTTTACAAAAAAAAAGCCACAATGTTTTCGGTACTTACGATTTATTTATAGGGCTTTGTAATCCGAAAACGAGAATTTTAAATTTTTTTGTACCCATTTTTGAGAATATATTTCTGTTTCACAAGTAATTTCTTAATTAATATTCTGAAATAATCTACAACTAATAATCTAAAGCTTAAAAATGAATGCAAATTTTACCGATGAATACTGTGACCGTCGCCTGTTGTTTTTTTTTATCCTTCGGTCAATTCATACATCTCTATTTTCAAAATTTATACCCACACTATAATAATTTTTCGTTAAAACTGCTATAAATATTCATTTATTTTATATATCGCTACATATAATAGTATATTTACAAATAAATATGAATTCCACTGCCTAAAAAGTTTAGTTTGCCTTTGACGTTGAAACCAGGTCAATTATTTTTTTTTATAATGATATGCTTGGGTGCTAGAGACCAAACACCAAATGTAAAGAATGTAACTTTTTTTAGGTTCACAAGGCCAACAACTACTACAACTTCAACAATTCAACATTTTAATAAAACAAAAAATATCGAATAACAAGCCATATAATAAAAGCATTTTTTTTAAAGGACTAATCAAAATGCTAGGAAATTTTTACATCAGGGGCGTTTAAATCGTCATACGAGTTAACATGACTAAAATTTGATTATTTATTATAAAACATTAGTTTATTGAAGTTGTTGTGACAGTTATTTTTAAAATTGTAATAAAAATGGAAGGCCACTCAGTAAAGTATAATACACTCAAAGCTTAACTGAATTTATGATTTGTATGTGAGGCTGAATTTAAGTAAATAATAGAAACAATAGAAACAATAATTTTGTAATTCCTCCACAGAGGTTAGTAACATAAGTTATGTAAATGTTGAACAAAGATTATTACGAACAAGGAATACATTAGCAAAGTTGTGAGTTTAAGAATTAGTCGAATCTCTAGTAGCTACATTTAGCTATCTATAAGCTATATACGGTTTCAACAGTAAGTTTTTTCGTCTTTGAATCCACTTTGTTCAGGTTACAAGACTGCAATGTATCCCCGGGATTCTTCAATACAATTACCTCAAGGTTAGTGGAAACTTACTTATAAGGTGTAGAATAACGGATTTTCTTAACTAAAAATAGGTACATAACAAAACTATTTCATACATTCCTAATCTCGGATCTACATTTATTGCTAGTAGTAATAGAAGCTATGCTCTACTATCAACATTGTTTATAAATCATTTGACCACTAAAACACCACCTTTCGTTATTACTCAACAGTTATTCAGAATTCAATGAATGGAAACACAATCTCTTTGTTTACTTACTGGTAGGAAAGAATGCACATTTTGTGCCGAGTCTGCTATAGTCGCCAAATAAGTCAAATTTCGGTGTAGAGCCTGTTGATATTGGAGAACTTCCGGAGCTTTTCCTTTGCTTTGATATTCTTGAATTGTTTGAATCAAATGTCCATTTTCATCCAACATTTTCTGCACTTGAGCTGGGTTCGGCGGAGGTCGATTACCCCCCCGTTGACCAAAACCCACAGACATCGCCACTTTATTTCTTCCTTTTCACCACTTTTCAGACAATCTTTGCGTATACTTTATTGATAAATAGCGCTTCGGGTATCTAGAACATAGCCTCTCGCTCGAGTTCACAGAGGTTTTTTTAGTGACATTTCTGAGTTGGCGGTAACTTACAAAAAAAATACTAAAAAAAGCCCTAGATTTGCAGGGTCGCCAACTGATGTGGGCGTCTTATGTCAAGTCTCGTGTTTCAGATTGAGGTTATATTTTGATCAAACGTTAGTGAATTCGAAAATATTTAGTTTAGATACTCGTTTTTTTTACAATACCACCTTTTTCGTTTCATGTGAAGAGTAACTGACAGCGCCAGGTGCAATAAACTTAAAGTACAATGAAAATAAAGAGATATAAAAAAGTGAACAAACACTTAAACTTTTACGTAAATAATTTTGGATTTAGACATCCTTATCAAGTTCTTGTCGACGGCACCTTTTGTTTTGCGGCTTTAAACGTAAGTTTCTGAGCTACTTAATTATGGTACGTATTATTATTATTATTAACACAAAATTAATTATAGAACAAAGTAAACATCTCTGACAACATACCACGGTATTTACAAGGAGAATTAAAATTATTAACTACACAATGTGCAGTTATCGAAATGGAAAATTTGGGGTCGAAATTGAGTGGTGCCTTGATTGTGTTGAAGCAGTATCCTGTTCATAAATGTGGCCATGAAGGAAAACCTATTGTGGCTTCAAAGTGTCTATTATCCATGTTGGGTAACTGTAATCCTAATCATTACATAGTTGCTAGTCAAGATAGAGATTTGCAAAATAACGTGAGGAATTTGGTTGGTGTGCCACTACTTTATCTTCATGGGAAGACTCCAGTGCTTGAACAACCATCTAATGTTAGTGTGGAAGCGGCGAAAGACAATTTAGGGGGAATCAGTATGTCAGAAAGACAGATGATTGAAAAGTTAAAATTAGAAAATGGGATGGTTAGTGATAATAGGGACAAACTCAAGAAAAAGAAGAAAAAAGGCCCAAATCCTTTATCATGTAAGAAGAAGAAAAAGCAGTCTGTGGAAGGTAAAGTTGTGAAAAGTGGGGAGAGGAAAGTTAAGAGACAGAAAGTTAGAATACCAGAGCATGTAAGAGAAGTTTTATTTAATAAAAAAACATGAAATTTTTAGCACATTTTATTTTCTTCGTATATAGTATAGGAATCATTTTTACATTTTTTGTGAGCTAGACAGAATTCTACTATAAATATTTTTCTTGGTTTTGTCCTACACAGACTAACAGATAGACCCGTTAATAAATTATTAAATCTAGCACATTTCATAATATAATTACACATTCTTATAATAATTAAGTACTTAGATTTATATTTTCGTATAGTATTACTTTTCAGTTACTTTTAACAAATATACATCACATATAAAGAAAACAAGTGGAAATAATGAATTCAGTTGAATCGTGAATACTTAAGTGAATAATTAAGCTAAAAACAACACCTTGGCGCGGTTAATTATTCTGAGCTAAATCAGTAAAAACCAAATTCATTATTTCAAAAGTTATTGCACACAAATAAAACCAATAAAAACTAATATGGCAGTCTTCATATTGTATTGTCAGTAATCCAAGTTAAATAAGGATTTATAATTTTTTGATTCTATGACCACGATTTTGTCTTATAATGAGCACCTTTTATAAAACTCTAAAATCTAATAATTACAGATTAAAGCTTATTTTTTTACATGACCTAAATTTTGTATAACCAAATGTCTTGGTGTTGAAGAGGTTATTTTTGGTTGTTCGCGAAACATTTAAATAAAATTTCTAATAATTTTGATATGTAAAAAAAAGAAATCTGAACCAAAAGTCACAGCATAAGCTAATCCATAATTCAGTTGTTTTTTTTTAATAAAAGGCATTGAAAAATCGTAGTAAGATTTGCGGTTCATGTAGTTTGATCAGGTGATCTGGGATGACGTCATTTGAGTCATCTCTTAAAAACGTTGACAGTGTGCGTACAGTAGAATATGTGCGTATTCTGTCTCGTGTTTTATAAAAAAATTAACATAAAATACAAGGAGAGTTAAAGAAACAAGTGAAATATTTGTTAAAATTTCTAATTTTATTTTTGTATAAGCTCCTTATTAAAAGTCACTATTATTGCGCTGTTGACTTTTTCATTTACCCCCGTACATCAATTACTTGTAAACAACTACTACATATATAGGAATTAGTCACTTTTTATTTGTGTATTTGTGAAGATTTTTCAATGCATTTTTAACAATCTTTACATTATAAAAGAACGGTATTGCATTATATCTGAAAACGTAATAAGTCTTCGATTTGGATGCGTTATGCTGTAACCTCTTAGGCCCGTTGCTATGGCGTACGTTAATACGTATATTAAAATATGTACAGTTTGATCACAATAAACATCTTCGCTACACTTCAGCGTCGTCCCTCTGTCCGCAGTACTTGTCCGCGATGGCAGAGAGCACCTGTTCAAATTTGGAATGTCTCTCATCGGCAGGAACGAAAGCTCCTCGACTTCCCCACAAAAACTTCATTTGAAATTCCGTTTTGAACATATCTATCGTCAACTCTTCCATCCTAGCTTCTCCCAACACAATCTCTGCATTTCTTTGGTAAGATGCACTTGTGTCCATGTATTTTCTGGCAGTCTCTAGATGATTAAGTAAAGTAGTAAGACCGAAGTCTTGGGTGTTCGATTCCCATAAACCTAGACAACTAGAAATCAGCTGGCTTTGTTCAGTGGGTGTCGTAAAGTCTTCTAAAGTACGCTCCTGCAGCAATATTAATGGCAACAAGTGAGGAATCGTCGTGTTTGGTGCTTGAGGATTTGAGCAACTATTCATATTTTTGAGGGTTGGTCGCAATTTCGCCTCAAAATTGAAAGCGGAATCGGTGTATTTTTGCCTCAACATGTGCCACGTGCTGTCTAGTCTTTCAACCTGTAAAAGAGGGTTTTTGTTTGTTTGTAGACGACGGAAAAAAATTTTTATTTGGTTACCTGTGGCAAGCATAAACCTAACATGATCCCGCAAAAGCCGAAGAGGTTGCCAAGGGCCGTTTTTGTGTCGATGGCGATTTCGATCCATTTATTTAACATCTCCGTTCTTTCGGTTTCATCCACACAAGTTAGAATTGTTACAGCGACTAGCAACTTCAAGCATTCGGTCCTAGGAATATCGATAAAATTAAATATTGTTGGAGACAAAAACATGTGGATTATAGTAAAACTCGGGCGTTAAAAATGGTTCAATTTCATGTTTTCGCGACATACATAGCTCCTAGAATATGAAAATATAGTATCTACTACCGTCTGGCGTTGTTGTCTGTTGACGATTTTTTTTTAGACAAGGGTAGATGGTAAAATTTGCTGACGTCATCTCAAAATTTTGCTGAGTAAAATTTCTATCAGATCTAGACGGTATGGTTCCAAATTTAGCTGCAATTATTTGCCATTGTTCTATGTATAACTTATAATTATAAATTCACCGCTATAAACTATAGAGGGGGTCTAAAGGCGTTCGAAATGTAGATGTTTCGTAGATCATTCTGGACTGACCATGAATAAATACGTCAATACTGGAAAGAATGGGCAGAGATTGAGAAATCCTTTGAACCATAAAGATCCCAAAAGCGGTATACTTGGGTCACATCTTCCGAATAAAACGTACGAACTCCTTCTGAAGGAAAAGGTCGGCGAAAAGCGAGGACCAGGCTGTCAACAAATCTCGTGGATGAACATTACGAACTAGCTAGGGATGGATACCCATAACTTGATAAGGCTAGGGAAAAATAGCGAGCAGTTTGCGTTGGTTATCACGTCTGCCCTTATAAAGGAGATAACACGAAAAGAAAATATGGCTAATCTTAATAAACGTAATGACAAACGTCAAAACGCTAAAGAAACGCGATTAATAACAAAATAAATTCTAACCAGGTGTCTGTATAACAAATTTTTCAATTTGTAACATAAGTGCGATTGTTAGCAGCAAATGCAGGATTTACGAGTTTAATTTTTTAAATCTGACACGTTATATGTGAATGTCAGGTGTAGCGCCTCTATCGAACTACAATGATTTATTAGTTTCTAAAAAATCTCATTGATTTAGGCCCTTGGGAAGTCATAATTTTTCAGTTCGCAAGTTTTGCTACGTCGTTTGAGCGACGTGTGCCTTTTTGTGGAAGCGGCGACTATTCTATTCATTTGCGAGAATTTTTATGGTGGCGCGTATTTTATTGTCTGTAATTTATTTTTATCGCAGGGTAAAAATTGTAAGACGTGCATTTTATTATTTTGCCGTGCCTGTCACCTAATTGTGTGTGGGGAAGTATCAATTTGAGTAAAAAGCGCAGTCATAAATTTCCTTGTTTAAAAATGGAATATAATTAAATGTTATTGTTTTTTTTATACGTATTTATTAGCACATTTGTTTTTACTTTGATTCATTATTCACTAGGGCTTTGTCGCTTTTCTAACTATATTCCCCGAGAAAATTTCGAATCGTTTATAACTTACGTGTACGTGTGAAGGTTAGCCCATTCTCACAATATTTATTCAACGTTAATCGTGACAAGATGTGTTCGCCGTTTAACTTTTATTATCACGAGCGGGAAAACTTTAGCACCCCGGATTAGTTGGAAACTACACAAAACTATTAATTTTTCGCCAATAGATCAGAAAGATTATTTCTGTAAAGTTTTAATGAAAACATTACTTACTAATTTGGCAACTGTTTTACAACATTTTTAAGAAGCTGCTTTTGCTATATTTCATTTTTAACTAAAGAAAACGACAATGTTTTCCATGTAACGCATAGAGCTTTGCAAACTCAAAACAGTGGCGAAAACTGCCTTCCGAAATTTCCATAAATAATTGAGAATTTCAAAAAAACTTTAAAAAGGAATGATGCCGCTTTGTTACATAGAGTAAGTAATGGGTAATTTAAGTTAAAACCTCATAATAAGTCTGTTAATAACGGAGATATTACATTCAGAAAATGTAATGAAAATCCCGTAAGTGTATCCAGATGTTGTTTGGGTATAATTCTTACTATTATTATTTTCAGTTTTGCTCGCGACATTGGCGTTTTGAAAAATTGTGGAAGGTTATTTTGACAGAACTTTCTTCGCCGCTGAAGTATAGTTATAAATATATAATTATAAAATTGCGTCTTCAAATATGAAATATATTTAAACCAGGTAACTAACGGGAAAAAATGTAGACATTCTCAATTTTTCAGTAGATGCTTAACTTCGACTATTTATGTTTATACTTCGACCGAATTCAACAAATAGCACGTTCAGATTACAAGCATTAGCGGTTAAAAGAAAATGAAATTCGGTTGATCTTGTGTCGTCAATGCAGAGGAAAGGATTGATTGATTAATTCATACTCAGTTTTTTTCCAAAAACACTAAATTTCAAGAAATTCGACAAAAATGTAAGCTGACGGACAAATTTTGATGAACGATTTACCATGTTTCAAATTATCTTAAAATTTTTGCATTCGGTTTTTGCAATTTAAAAGTTAAATCGTAAAATAGTGTTTATTCGGCAGAATTCTAAGATGACCTCATATTTTAAGATTAAAGGCGAAGAAACGAACAAATTTTGATTAACGGTTTGTCATCTTTCCCATAACCTTTAAACGTTTGCTGACTTTCAATACATTCGCTGTTGCAATTTTAAAGTGAAACTGTAAAATGCAATTTTGAATTTTTTCCCAAAAATTTCGATGTCTAGGGTAAAAATTCAACACGGATTCTAAATTACACAACATGAAGTATGTATTTCTAAAAAACTTAAGAAACATTTATTCTGTAAAATTGTAAAATTACGTTATCATTTTTTAGGACGACAAATAAAAAAAAATGATTAACGATTTAGCATGATTACGATAATCTTAAAGCGCTTGAGAATTTTCAAAGGATTCGGTTTTACAATTTCAAAGTTAAATATGTATGTAAAATGTTGTTATACAATTTTGATTTTTTCCCCAAAAATCTGGATGTCTAGGATGAAAACTCGGATTCATGAATTACACTTGCAGGCAATCCTATAAAATTAAATATATTTAATACAAAAAAAAGGTCAAATTAGTAGTAAGTAAAATGGTACGAGTACATTTTGATTTTTAATTTATTATAACGCGTTTTATCATTTTTTTAAGAAAACAGGCCAGTTTTGGCGTTGAAGTATTTTTTTTTACCTTTTTGTAAAAAACTCAAAATCAGCGGTTTTTATATGAATCGGCTAGAATCATGGTTAAAATCTTCAGAAATCCACAGCTTTTTAAAGAGATGTTGCAATTTTGATTTTTTTTCTCCAAAAAAACTGGATGTCTGATAAAAACTCACAAGGTTTCATAAACCACATGTTCAGGGGTATCTTATTTTATAAAATTTAAATAATAGTTACTACTGTAAATTTTGGAGATGACGTCAACAATTTGTTGGTAGCCTAATTTTGATTAGCGTTTTACCATCTATATGATATTCGTAATCACATATCAAATTTGACGATTGGTTTAGTGCTTTCGAGGATTATGTATCTAATAAAAATCCGAACAGACGGCAGACAGACAGATGGAAACGGGAGACCTATTATTTCGTACTGAGTTTACGCTCTGAAAGTAAACAGGTGCTCTTATTTAATACATATTTACATATACATATAGTTTTTTATGCGTCTGTTATATTTTTAGGAATATTTATTGGATTTGTAATTGTAACATCCTGTATATGTAAAAATTCTAAATAGTTGTATAAAAAAAAGAAGTAGACTGTTTCGGGAAATTTCCCGGTGTCCTGGCGGCACAACGACACTGTATAAAGTAAAGTCTATTTTAGAATATCGTCAAACTTATTGTAGCACTTTCGCTTTTGCCGAAATTGAAGACAAGTTTTGTTAATTTACAGGGTTGGAAAAAATCGGATTTTTATGAAAAAAAACGAAAATTACCGATTAAAAAAAATCATGATTTACATATTTGATTTTTTTTAGTTTTTCAATTCTTTGGTATTAAAACTCTAATAAAAGTAAAAGCAAAAGTTCTCAGTTTTAATTAGACCTATTTATCCCGTTTCTAATAATGCTTTATATTAAATTGGTTATTAGAATTTTAATTTTTCACGCATTTTAACACTCGCCATGTTTTGAGCCGTGTTTTTGCGAGTTTTGCGCAGGAAAGAATTTATTTTCATTCACATTGCTAAACAGTAATAGTGTCATTTTTGTTTGCAATGTTTGCTCGGATATTTGTAATGAATGTTTTGTCGTACCTGTTATTAAAATAAAAAATTGGTCGAAAGCATTAGACAGAAATTCCGTCGTCTTTGAAGTATTCGGCTGTGCAGCTTCTAGTTTCTTGTCTAAATCATATTATTTGATTTTATGAATTTTATTTTTTTATGATCACCCGTATACATTTTAGAAAATCGGGGCGGATTCATAAACCATAACTTAATGAGTATGTTACATATCAAATTTAGATAGCATTTATTATGCAAAATGTTTAGGTGAGATCATTAAATTGTTGGTGGGGATGATCATACAAATTTTGATTAGGGTTTACCATCTACACGATATTCCTAAAATACAAGTAAAACTTGACAACAATCAGTAAGTTTCGGAAATTGTCTGAAAATCAACACAAACAGACAGAAATAGAAGACCTATTTTTCTCATATTCTAGGAGTCATGAAAACATATAGTAGGCATACGCCGGATGGACCCTACTTTGAAAAAATTACTTGATTTAAATCGGCCAACTCTGGTTATTTATATATAAATAAATACGTCTTGTTAACTTTTAGATTCACCAAAAACGGTGAAATGAAACTTATCAGTTTAGCATTTCTCAGTAAACGATCTGAAAATAATTTAATTTTTCGTTAAAGGTATTGTTAGATTCACTGCACTGGCTATTTTGCACGAAAAAAATATTCCAACCGTGTCTTCATAAGTATAGCCTCCGAAATACTATAAGTTTATATGGCTGTTGTAAAATTAGAGTATTGTGAACACGACAATGGTGCAGTTAATAAGGCAAACACACAGTTCTAAAAGACAAATTGTATTTGGTTTAATGTACCAAAAATGTTTACGCGGATTACCCAGCAGTAGACATTAAGGTGGTAAGATATTGAGACAAATCCATGATTTATGATGCTAGGCTTGAGTCGGTAACCAGCCGCACAAAAGGAATTATAACATCCCATTATTAAGTTTTGTGGGGCCATATAACCTTGTAGTATTTCGGAGACTATACTTCTTTTTAAAGAGGGTGTCCCTTCACTTAAAAAACGAAATTTGTCTTCATTTTTGATGAAAGTGGAATATTGATGTTTCTAACTATATTTTACTTTATTTCTCAAGCGTAAGCTATAAAAATATATGAATATATAAACAATATATAGCATTTGGAGTAGTTTGCGACGTCATAAGTCAGCTCTAAGATTTTTTGTTTGAAGTTGATGACTTGCCAAATTTTAGTTCACGAGTGTGATAATCAGAGCCCGGACTAGTGCGGGTAACTTTCAAGTCGCCCTCCTTGTTGCATTTAGTGAAGGTTAGTTGTAGTTTAAGTAATTAAACCTAAATTAACGTTATATACGTTAACAGTATTGTTCTCCTAAAATTTTCTTTCATAGTGTTGAGTTTATAAATGTGATGATCTTTGCATTTTACTTCTAATAATGTGTAGTACGAACGCATACAGTTAGCCTTCTGAACGCTAATCATTCCGACGGGAGGTTCAAATCACTATTGTACTGGCGATTTGCCTTCTGTTCGCACTGATCCGGTCGGAAAGTACAATATCATTATTTTAATTTACTTTCTGAATGCTCCGTCTTCATGCGGATTTTAGAGTGACATTTTTTTGCTCTTTGCACTTCCAATTTTTTAATTTATCAAAATGAACTACTACACATGAATGTAGCTATTTTTAAATCAAATTGTTGTGACATTACTTATTGGAATTTCATTAAAATACTGTACTAAAAAATTGTAACGATACTGAATCAGTTTTTAAGTATGTGACCTTGATCCATGATTTTTAATATCTACAAATTGTTCATAAACATTGTAGGTATTAGGGCGCTCGTTGTACTCAGCTGTGTACGAACATTACAATAAAAAAGGTATAATAATTACACGAAGACACAAACAAATATTGCATTGCACAGACGGTCTTGTTATAAGGCTTATTAATGTAATCGACCGATAACCATTTTACATTTTTGTTCTGACGATTCCGTCCCACGACCTGTAACAGGTCGTGACATTATAAATTTTAACCAATGTTTTCATTCCATATCCAACTCTTACCCAAAGAAAAACATTATTCCGGGCATAACTTTACGATTTTCCATACCGAATAGTCTTTGAAGAAGATGGGAATGTAATCAAAACATTCTTTAAAATTTATGATTTCACGTCAGGACGTGTGATGGAATGGAGACGCGTGTATGTTAGCCTGAATTGTTAATCTTGTACGGTTTTCACATATAAGTATAGTTTCATTAAAGATAACACTTACCGTTCTATCAAGTCCAGCCTAAACTGGTGCCCATGCGGCAACGCACATAGCTCAATCCCACTCGCTAACCTCGCCTCCATCGCATCCTTATTCGGCTTGTAAAAAATTATATCTAAATCAGTCCTCGTCAAATGGTTGGCCAGAATCCTGGGCCCCGAATCGTGTAGGATCATCTTGACGCCTCGCAAGGCTTGAGCATCCAACGGTTTATTCTCACTCACAGGAAGCAATATGGTCTGGAAATTCTCCAAATCGAACCTACTGCAAAGGTTAATTTCCGGTTGCAGCATCCGCAGCAGCTTATCCTCGGCTTCGGCGTAATCAATTTCGAAATTCTTCAAAGTCGTTGATGATTCGGACGCAACGAGATTATACCTAGGATTAAATTAACGCAGATTAGGACCACAACTTCGGTACTACATGCATAAATTACGACCAACCTAGGGTTTTTAATAATCACACCGGAATTTCTTTGGTTCGTTTCCACGGGGTCGCCCGCCGCCGAGCTTAGCGCCGAGTCCCCGGAGCCGTTGCCGGAATCCGAGCCGGAAGCGTGGTAGGACGTAACCCTTTGCAGATTTCCGTGGGGCAAAAAGCTGCCATCTCCGCTTTGTCTGCCGTCTGTGACGTCGGTGTCTTTCGATTCCAGGCGAATGATGCTGGGCACTCGCGACGGTTTCGGGGGTGGCGAGTCGGAGATTCCTGAGTCGCTCTCGTTGAAGAATTTCCTCTCTGCGCAAGGAGACAGGGTCGGGTCGCTGGTGATGCGGCAGTTCCGACCGAGGGTGTTCGAGCTCGCAGAAAGGGAGAGTTTGGTGTTGGGGCTTCTGGGCAGCGAATGCGTTGAGAATTTCAAGCCCGCGTTTATTGTGTCGGCACCGGCTGAACGCGTCATTAGGGGGGATTGGATTACCCCGTCGGCGCTGTTGCACTTCTCCTGGGATATTCTGGAAAAGAGAGAAATGAGGAGGACGTTAGTAACTTGAGCTTTTATTGAACCAAAACTCTTAAACTCGATTCCGACAGCAACGCAACTCTTTTTTTGTGGCGCTCGACCTCTGCAAGTTAGGTTTCACAAAGGTTTTAGTATAGGCAGCGTGTTCCACTTTTTTTCATCATAATAAGTTTCAAAAGTTATCGGCAGGTATCAATACACCAAAAGTTTTGGGATAAGATACTACTAAATCAAAAATAATTTTTACAAAACCCTTCAGTCTTGCTTAGAGTAGTTTTTGTCTTCTGAACGCCGTACTTTATAAATTCAAATACTTTAGAAAGGTTGTTTGATTATGAGACATGACGTGCTTCAGCTGGAGGATTTTGAGGATTGGTTTACTGAAAAACGTAGTCTTTTATTTTTTATCGGTTTCTAGAAATGAAGACCTTGCGATCTCTCATTACAGAATAAAAAAATAATAAATATACACTCCAATTGTTATTAGACTTAACACCTTCCTAAGTAATCAAGTTTCTGTCGTATTATAATTAGTTCTGATGAATAGGTTGCGTTAGACTCCTAAATCAATTCGACGATGTAATAGAGCTTTAATACCATATTGTTGCCGTTTACTCAAAAACTAATAATACTTGCTAATAAGTACCCGCCTATTCTGAGTAACGCTTCATAATTCCATTGTCGATATAGTCATTTGGGAATCTACCCTTTCTATAATAACGTGATGTGTAGTATGTACTATGTATTTACTGCTTGATATAGTTTATGACTTAAACCGGTGCAAACTAATAGGGAAAACCTGACTGTATATTGAATTTGGTGACTTACTAATCCTAATACAATTTCAAGACAACTTGTTCAAATTAACAATAATATAATAGTAAGTAAGTAATTAAAGTCTAAATTAGTCACTAGTGAGTACAATTTCGTTATAGTGCGGTAAAAAAACTTCAGACTTCACTAGAGAGATTTTATGTTACTTGTTACTTTACGAGAATTCCAATTGAAAATGTTTGAATCAATTGCAGCTATAAAAATATATAGTTGAAAGGATAATCATTGTTCACCCAATATTTGTTGCATGGTAAAAGAGTTTTGAAAACGATTTTGTGCGTAATTGCCCATGTTTCATATGTTTATGTAGTTAAAAAATATAAATGATCTTAATTTCCGGCGAAGACGGAAGCGCTGGAATAATGTTTATACATATTTTATCGTAAGTGTACTTTTTTGTAGATTATCTTTCGTATAATTTGTTTCCACAGAAGCAGTAATTCATATATAATTGGATCGATCAGCGGAGATGAAACACCCCATGTAATGGTAGGCACAAATTATTCAAGACAAGCATTTGTCGCATGCTCAAATTTATTGATTATGAGGTAGATTGTTATCTTTTTTGATAAATATCATTTTTACCAGAATTTTGCAATGGTTATAGGGTTTGTTATAATTTGGTATGTTTTACATTTATACAAGAAAAATCAGGTAACTACTGTTGGTTTTCGTTCTTTGTCCTTAATATTAAAATTTTGCAAGAATTAAACCTTTTAGCTATATTATGTCGTCTTAATAAAATTTTACGGAGTTTAGATGAACTGTAAGAACCTTTTCAATTAAATCCGCAATACCGAAAAATATTAACTATTTGATGGTCGACGTGTTTCAGCAACTAATACTGTCAACTTCTCGAAGGGTGAATTTATATTTTTCGGTGTTACGGGGATAACAACGTGCTTCGAATTATTTAATTTTTTTAATTGTTTGATTTATGATGTGCATTACATAAATTCGATGTTCTTCTTCCGGAGTAGATATTTATGAAGGTATTTTTGTACCTACATTTCCTTATCTCTGCAGCACAACCAATACACCATGGTGTATTTTTTTGAAGATATATTTATTTCATAACGTTTCATAATGAACTTTGGGAATTATTTTAAGCTATTTAGACCAAGAACTTCCCCTATTCCTGAAGAACATTCCCGTAAATTCTGTAAGTTAAAATGATAGCGTACTCTACCCAAGTCTGATATGTACAATGTAACACTAATAATAGCAGTGGTGTATATCTAGAATTTCGGGGAAATGATGCAAACTTCACTATTTTTTGTAAGGACTTATATATTTTTGATTAGTGATTTAGCATGTTCGACGTGTATTTTAAAATGTGTGCAAAATTTTAGAACAATTGGTTTTATAATGTCTACGTTAAATTGTAAAATTTTGTTGCACAATTCATTTTTACATCCCGAGCTTAAGTTAAGAAAGTAGTTGTAACCGAGTCCATAGAGTGACTGGCTACTTTCCTGTTTTCTCGTTTCATGACCCCTAGAGTACGAAAAAATTAGTCTCTCGTTTCTGCCTGTCCGCCGTCTGTCCGCGTCTGTGTCGATTTTTAATAGACAGATAATCTCCGAAACTGCCGGACCGATTGTTGTCAAATTTTGTATGTTTATTAGTAATATCGTGGTAAAATGGTAAAATATTGACCAAAATTTGTCTGATCATCATCACCTCAACAAATTTGATGACGTCAGTTCCAACTTTTACAATAAATATTATTTAAATTTTAGAAAATAACATACTCCACTTGTTTATGAATCCAGTTGTTAGGTATCTTGATTTTGGGGAAAAAAATCAAAATTTTATAACCGTATTTTATATTGAATGCTCTGAAATCTTGCAAATCTTTTAACGTTATTGGAAGCATAGTAAATCGTTAATCAAAATTTATCGGGTTACGACTTTCATAAAAACTGATGATGTCATCTTATAATTTTACCGGAAAAATGTTATTTACATTTTATAAAATAACTTATGAACTTCATGTGTGATTTATGAATCCATCTTGCGTTACTGTATTTGATATGCAGATTTTTGCAATTAGATAAATTTTGGTTTTATTTTACCAGATGTGACATTCTTACTACAATGCAACTAAATTTCATGAACATCAATCCAGTAGTTTTGGAGATTTTTTGTCCAAAAAACAGCTTTTTTGGTATCACTTATCGATATTCCATTTGCATCTAAAAATGTGATATAGTTTCTTTTTATAAAAAACGATGTATTCTATTTAATACAAAAAAATGATCTTATGTTATTAGACAGAACTCCACTCGCCCCTGAATCGCAATTAAATAAATCTAATTGTTTAGAACAACCATTAGAGAAAATACCAATCGCAGTGTAAGGAAAAAAACTTGTAGAGCTTTTTTTTGAATTCATTAATATATCATACCCATACTCTGCCACTGCCTTTGATTCGAACGTATTATGCTATGAAAATACAAACGGAAATTGGATTAAGATTTGCTCCAAAAATATGAATGCATTGATAAAACGCGAGTCTATGTTGTGTTTCTAGTGAGTTTTGTCGATGGAAAATGTTCTGATTAATATTTCAGCAAGAAAACGTATGACAATCTCCACATGTGCAGTGTAATATTAATAATAAAAAATTAGGTGTATCGTCCTTGATTTGATCTTAAAAAAAAATGGAAACGCTGTTGGGGTCGAACCTTTGATTGGAAAACAAAATGCTCCTCCATAAGTCGTCAAGTTTGTGTATTATGTGACAAAAGAAGAAGGTTTAAATAATAAAAAACATTATAAAAAGAAACAAAAATAAGGCGGATTTATAAAGGAGCATATAAAATTGAAAAGGCATTTACTTAGGAAAATTTTAAGGTGACGTCATTACAGCGTGGGTGTGGATAGTCAGACAAATTTTGGTTAGAGTTTTACCGTATATAACATATAAAATTAGATAATAATCGGTTCGTTAGTTTAAGACATTATTTGTCTAATAAAAATTTACACAGAAGGCGGACAGACGGCAGACAGACAGGCAGACGGAAACGTGAGACTATTTCGTACTTTCGTCGAGAAAAGGTGACAGTAGCCATTCGCCGGTTGGATCCTAGTACAACACTTCCTTAGCTTACGGTCGGAAAATAAAAGTAAAATAAAACCCGAATTTAGGATGATTTTTTACCTCCCAAGCATCGATTGCCACTTTCATGTTTACTCGACGTTTTATGACCCCGAGAGTACAAAAACGTGATTTCTCGTTTCCGTTTGTCTGTCGTCTGTCCATACCGATTTTTACTAACAGATAACTTTCGAAACTACTGGGCCGATTGTTGTCAAATTTTGTATGTATATTAGATCCCTAATATACATATATTAGACTCCCAATCATCCCCACCAACAATTCGATGACGTCATCTCAAAATTGTACATAGTAATTGGGTTTTAAATTATGTAACATAACATAGTCCTACACGTACAGTTTATAAATCCGTGTCGAATTTTTATCCAAGCCCTCAAGATTTTTGGAAAAATTGAAAACAATATTTTGCAATTTAATTTTGAATTTGCAAAACCAAATGCTTTGAAATCTTGCAGATGCTTTCGTTATCGTAGGCATGGTCATTTTTTATCAGAATACATTTGTTGATTCCCCAAAAATTGATGACTTCAAAATTTTCCCGAAAATTTGGGAATAAGATACTTTTATCATTAGTATTATATTGGAACTATCCAAATTGATATATGCATCCTTACAAAAATGTTGATGACGTCATCGCAAAATTTTGTACAGAAAAAACTTATAGTTCTCATAAAAAAAATAAAATTCACAAAATCAAATTTTGTAATGTTTCGAAAAAGCTGGATATGATTTATTGTACTTCAGGGGCGAGGGATCGCAGTCAGTCTACCAGTGTTACTACAGATTTTTTTTCTTCTCGCTTTGTCATTGTAGGACTCGTACTTTGCAACTATTATATTCAATTATCTATTAAATTTTGGATACGAAATAAAAATTTTTCCGGTGTAATTTTCTTCATTTCATTTAAATTAAATCTAGGATCATAGAAAGAATCCTTGTGCAGGAAAATTTTTCAGTCATTTTTCATACAGTGCATATAGCTTGAATTACTAAAAACATCGAAACATGTACTTCAGATTACAACATTTTTCTGATGCTATACAGTCGTAGAGTGTTTATAACTAGTTTCTTGTAAGAGTTTAGTGTCATTGAAAAGAAAAAAATTAATGTCAATATTTGCCTTTTTGATAGTAGCATAGACAGATAATTCTCATCAATCATTTTCATTAAACTTAAAAAAGATCTTATATTTGAATACTGTGCTATTTTTTGGATCAGTCACCAGTAGTTGACATTTTTTCTAGAAAACTTTGAAATCTCTATGTAGTTGATAACTGTGTGCAAATAATAATCTTTGAATCGTTTTTATTTTGAGCATAAGATAGACGTCTATAATTAAAAAGACCTTCTACACGTAAAAATGTGAAATTTTCAGCATATTTACAGTAAAATTACCACTACAATCTAATAGAAAGCCATGGTTTTTTGAACTTTTTCGTCTTGTCAGATTACGGTCAATTTGAAAGTTTGAATTGAAAATGCATTAATCAAAGACAAGCTTTCAAAAATCCATGGCTGTCTTTAATCGTGTTTTTTTATTGGCCTCTCGGTAGAAAGCAGTAAAAATACGATCAAAGACAGCCATGAATTTTTGAAAATTTGCTTGAATTTAAAATGTAACTGTCGAAGATAAACATTCAAAAATTCATGGCTGCCTTTGATCTTATTTTTTATTGCTCTCTCGGCAGTAGAAAGTATGGCACTGTTGACCAGTTTACCCATTTATTGACAGGCAATATATTTAGTTATCAATTTTTTTTTAAGTTTTGAAATGTTGATATAATGCGACATACGAGTTCGGAAGGATATCGATTTATCGATAGGTCGCCCACCCTTACAAATAAAATCGCCAACAGATGGTGTATAGAAAACAGACAGATGACAGGCATGAAATGAAACATCGAGAAAGCATGAAATTAGCCATGCATCTATCTATAATGCATTCCATTCTAGCTTACGCATAAATTTTATATTATGTCATACATTTTTCCTCGATTTGAAGATTTGATGTAAAGAAACATATTCAGTTCTAGTCATCATTTGATTGATAGATCATAATAAATTGTTATTTTTGAAAAAATCTTTGAAATTTTGAAAATTTTAGTAAACCCATAGTATTAAACAAAATTCTTATAATTCATGAAATTTATAGGTAAAAATATAATATTTTCTGATTTCGAGTATCATGAAGAATCCGATTTGATACAGTAATTTAAAACTTAAAATATGACTGCTGTCTTTCCAAGGGCATGCTGTTTATAACCTTTGTTTACTATTATAAAAGACAGACAGGAGGGTAGTCCGTGTTTTCAAATTCGGCGGTATAAAACATTGATAAGGCATAAAATTAGAATTCATCAAAAGTCCCTCTGTCGGTCCGGGGAATAAAAATGGAGTTAAAATTTTATTTAAAAAAATTGTCAACTACCATTTTTTGTAACGTTAACCCATCAGTCTTGCATACAATTCCGTACACAACTATGCAGTATTTTATCATTTCCTTGCAAACATTATGAACATACACGCCCAAATCCCTAAATCACTTCAGCTAAGCCTTATCAGAAACTCCGCTGAGTCATCAAATAATTACTTAAAGGTGTTCACTTAGATCGATAGCTTACAGCAATGCAAAACCATTAACTCCTATTGTGAGACCGCCTGCCGAGCACTTTACCGTAACTAGATAACCCGAAACCTCCCAACAACAAATAAAGTAACCCCACCTGTTAACTTCCGACGGAGTCAACGACTGCGACCTTTGCTTCTTCGACGGCAGCCTCGGGGGACCGTCCCTGTTGCTCCTGGTGGGCGACGAAGACGGCCTTCCCGGATGCAAAGGCCCATGCCTGTACTGCATGGTCCCTATGGGCGTCGTCGCCGGCGAGGTCAACCTGCTCTGCGGAAGCGGTGCGGGATATTTCGAAGCGTAAAACGAAAGCGGGTACATGCGGTTTTTCGGGAACTGGATTTTAGCCCCGGAAGCGGCCGTTATGGACTTGCCCGAGCCCACGTAGAAGGTTATGAGGTCGGGCACCGTGTCGAAGGCGTCCTCTTCGAACTGGTACTGGACGTGCTCGTATACGGTGTCCGGCTGGAGGATGATCTTGTTGATGACGAAGTGAAGGGGTAGGGTTTTGGTCCGGCAAGTTAGGACGTAATTGCCGGGCTGAGAAGTGCAATCCCGGACTAGAAAGCCGCCTTCCTCCCGGACGATGTCTTCCGCTCGGGCTCGCGGAATCGCGCCGTGGTACCAAGCGTGAGACCGCAAGTCTCGGCTGTCGAGCGAAAGTTCCCATTCTAGAGCCTTTTTTAGTTCGAGGGCGTTCATCGTGGGGTCCGCTGTGGGCTCCTGCAACCAAAAAAACAAACTTAGTTAATCACTCTGTTTTTTATTTTTGTTAAAAAATTTATAAAATTACTACCAAATTTTCCGACTACGTATACACAATACATAATTGATGAAAAGATCATACCAAATCATGTTTTCCAAATATCATGACTCTCAAAATTAAAATCGTTTCTAAGATAAAAGTCTACTTATTATTTATTTTTTAAAGATCTTCTGCAAGTTGTTTAAAAAAATCTGTAGTACAGTCCAATAAATCCTCTGAAAAATGATAAAATTTGATTTTGCGGAAGTTTAGTTTTTCGTGATAAGGAGTAAAAATAATATAGAAGGTACTAGTCACAGTGTAATAGAAAAATAAGTTTCACCTTCTTAGAAACCGACACTTGGGAGCCCCGAGAAGATTTAATATTCTTAAAAAAAGACACTTACGGCCCACGAGAAGGTTTCATCTTCTTTAAAAAAGGACAGTTAGAACCCCTGAGAAGGTTTCACATTCTTAAAAAAGACAATTGGCGCCCCCGAGGAGTTTTACATTTTTAATAATGACAGTTGGGATCCTCGAGAAGGTTTCACATTAAAAAAAAAAAGACATTTGGGGCCCCCGAGAAGATTTTACATTTTAAAAAAAGACAGTTGGGGCCCCCGAGGAGGTTTCTTAATAAAAAAAGACATTTGGCGCCTCCGAGAAAGTTTTACATTTTTAAAAATGATAGTTGGGACCCCCGAGAAGGTTTCACATTCTTAAAAAAAGACATTTAGTACCCCCGAGAAGGTTTTACATTATTAAAAATGAGAGTTGGGACGCCCGAGAAGTTTTCACATTAAAAAGAAGACATTTGGCGCCCCCAAGGTTTTACATAAAAAAAACAATTGGAATTCCCGAGAAAGTTTCACATTCTAGTTGGGACCCTTGAGAAGGTTTTACATTCTTAAAAAAGACATTTGGTGCCCCCCAAAAGGTTTTACATTTTTAAGAAAGAGATATTGAGACCCCCGAGAAGGTTTCATATTTAAAAAAAAAATACATTTGGGACCCCGAAAATGTTTTACATAAAAAAAATCAGTTGAGACCCTCTAGAAGGTTTTATATAAAAAAAAGACATTTGGCGCACCCGAGAAGGTTTTACATTTTTAAAAATGACGGTTGGGACGGCCGAGAAGGTTTTACATTTTTAAAAAAGACAATTGGGACCCCCTAGAAGACTTCAAATTCTAAAAAAATTATTTGGCGTTCCCGAGAAGGTTTCACATTTTTAAAAAAGACAAATGGAACTCCCGAGAAGGTTTCACATTCTTAAAAAAATACATGTGGGTTTCCGAGAAGGTTTTACATTTTTAAGAAAGACAATTAGGACCCCGGAGAAGGTTTCATATTAAAAAAACGACATTTGGCGCCCCCGAGAAGGTTTTACATTTTTAAAAATGATAGTTAGGACCCCTGAGAATGTTTCACATTTTTACAAAAGACATTGGGTGTCCCCGAGAAGGTTTTAAATTTTTAAAAATTACAGTTGGGATCCCCGAGAAGGTTTCACATTCTTAAAAAAAGACGTTTGGCGCCTCCGAGAAGGTTTTATATTTTTAAATAAAGAAGGCCACATTCTCACCTTTTCGAGAAAGCTCTTCAATAAAAAATTGGTTATGGTGTCATAAACATAGATAATACACAATGCGAAAGAAAAAGAGAAAATAAAAGAAAAAAAAACGAAAGGCCAAGATTGGTTTATTCGTCACAAACCTTTTCATGTTTTTGTTTATGAGTATAAGATGATTATTAAATCGGGTGAAGGATACTACCCTCACAATGTTGGAATTTCAAGCGTTCGATTTTTAAAAACAATCATATTACATAACACACACACATTCCATTTATATTACAGTGCCGGTACCTAGCTACTTGTATTTTCATGCCACACCGACTTCACTCTTCCTTCATTCTCTCATCCTCCATCACCCGCACCCCCATACCTCACCCCGTCACACCCTCTCTCATGCTTCTCCTTTTCTTAAACACCCTTTCCGCAAATACCATTAATCTCTCATACATCTCTTTTGCATATTAAATAATAAAGGGTACCTAAGGATTCGTTCCTAAACAATCAAAATCGCTCTTATTACAAAAAAGGGCCCAAAATTTCGATAGTCAGAAAAGTAGCCGATTACATTTATTTTTGAGGCGGAAAAACCAACTGAAATAAAGAATTAACACAAAAATAATGACGTTCGGTTCAAGCCAAAATTTTTCTTAGGGGCGATTAACAGATCGACAGAACTTCTGTTGTCCCTGAAGTACAACAAAACATTTTCAATTTTTTCGCAAAATTACAAAATTTGATCTTGTGAATTTTATTTTTACTTCCTGAGCGTAAGCTAAGGAAGTATAGTAATCGAGCCCATCGGACGAAGGGGCACTTTTATGTTTTCTCGACGTTTCATGACCCCTAGAGTACGAAAAAAGTAGTTTACCGTTTCCGTCTGTCTATCTGTCTGTCTGTTTGGTGTCTGGGTTGATTTTTATTAGACACGTAAACTCGGAAACTCCTGAATCGATTGCTGTCAAATGTCAAATAACCAATGTTTATGATAATTTTAAAACGTTTGCAAGATTTCATAGTATTCAGTTTTGCAGATTCCAAATTAAATTGCAAAATGTTATACAATTTTGACTTTTTCCCAAAAATCTGGATGTCTTGGGTAAAAACTCAACACGAATTCACAAACGCCACGTGTTATTTTACACAATTTAAAACCCGTTTACTATGTACCACTTTGAGGTGACGTCATCACACTGTTGTTGGGGATGAATAGACAAAGTTTGATTAGCGTTTTACCATCTACATGATATTCATTCTAAAGTCGCGATCTTTTCTATAGAACCACTCCCTAGTGTAAATTTTCAAAGTTTGTTTGGTGTAAGTGACCTTGACGGGTTTCTGGGGGAAAACATATGTGTCAAAAATTTGACAGGTTGAATGGTCCCATTGTCAATGTAGATATTTTATTTTAATAAATAGATGAACAGAACATACGGGATACAGTGCGGCATAGCTGAGGGCAACCGAAACATTCGTGTTGTGCTAGTTTCGATTGTCATATCAACTACCGCTACCAACCGCGTTCGACCTAAAGTACTAGATGACAGGGCTACCAACTTGACTTTTTATCGAGTGGTTCCGTAGAAATGACCGCTACTGTACACATAAAAATTGACGAAAATCGATCTGGTAGTTTTAGAGATTATCTGTCAAACAAAAATCAAGACAAACAGACAGACGATCAGACGGAAACGGGAGACCTATTTTTTCGCACTCTAAGTGTCATGGCATATCGAGAAAATATGAAATTAGCCAATGGCTCGATGGACTCGATTACAATACTTCCTTACGCTCGGGGTGTAAAAATCGTGTAAATTAACGTCACACCAAAAATGAGGTTTGTTTTATTTCAGATTTATTTAGTAAATTGATGAAATTAATTTCTTGTCAACAATATTAAAAACCAAAATTTTGTTGGTGATTTTATTAAACGGATAGCAGTGTACGAACTTACTGAACTCGTTGTTTATATCATATAGATGGCAAAACGTTAACTAAAATTTATCTAGCCGCAAATTCTGACCAAGTTTATAAAATATAAGCTTGTAATTTGTTGTCAATAAACTTAAAATAAGTCCGTCCTAATTTTTAGACAGCTATATTTATGCAAAAAAAAAAAAATCAAAATTCTACAATAATTTATAATTTAACGTAGAAACTACAAAATAGGGCCCTCTGGAATTTTGCAAATGCTTTAAGGTAATCGTAAATATGGTAAATCGTTAATCAAAATTTATATACTTATGCGCTCCAAACACTTTACGCCACCTTAAAATTTTCCGTTGAATTCTATTAAAAATGTATAAAATAGTGTGTATCTCTACTAGTGGTCCACTAATGTATGCATATTTTTTATAACTAGTTATATTAATTACTATTTCATTGTAGTTTAATATTCCACACGTATTTTTATTTTATACACCTTAACTTATAAGGGTTATCACAATATATAATAGAAAATTCAGATTAATTTTTATTCATGGAATTGATACACTTAATTTAAAATTGTCGATGATGAGAAACTTCAGCATTGGCTAAGTAAGTCTAGTGTGTTGAAGGAAAATGCGTATTAGTCTCCACGTGTTCGTGTTCGGGTAATAACAGAATAAATTTGTGATCGAATTCCATTAGGAGAATTAAGTGAAGCTCATAAAGCGGAGATCGAACTTGTTACAAAATAAAGTGAAGATCAGTTGTATTTTTGGAGCAGATTTTAGGTAGTTACACAGAGATTTTGTTTAGCTTGAAGTCCAAAATTTCAAAATGTTTGCCATGTAAAGGCCAGTTTTTAAAATAATGCTATATTAAAGAAATTACATCGTAGCGTTGTTGAAAATTGATCTCTTATATGGTTGAAATATTGTAAACTTAATTGTGCACGAATACAAAAACTATTAAATAGATATAGATAATTAAATTTATACGACAGTCAAAATGAACTAAACTATAGCAATATAATTATAAATTTCAGCATATTGAAGGTCTGGAGAATTTACCTCTACTTAATAATTTTTAAAGTGACGTCATTAGTGTTCTGGAGAGAGTAATACATAAATTTGACTTAATGCTCTTATTACTTCCCGAGCGTAAGCCAAGGAAGTATAGAATACATGTCTCTAGTTTCCCCCTGCCTCTCGTCTGTGTCAATTTTTATTAGACAGATAATGTCCGAAACTAGTGGACTGATTGTTATCAAATTTCAAATGTATTTTAGGAATATCGTCTGATACTATATGTAAATGTGAATGATATTATGTATACATACTTATAGATATCTTATAAAAAATTGGATTTGTTTGGTTGTCCTTTAGGGACTAGGGAAGTTCTCTATAATAACATGAGACCATTTTCTCTTTAAGATAATTTCAAAACAGCGGTGGATAAGTAAAAACCGTGCTTAGCTGTACATTTAAATTGCGATTTACTTAAAATCATGAAATGGAGCTATAAATGATGATGACTGCAAAATAGATTTTGGTTTGTAGGGTAAAAAATCAGAACAAAATAATTTAAGATACGCATTAAGAATAACCGATCAGTTAAAATATGTGAGATTTTGTCTAGTCAAAAAAATTACACTTACTGTTTTATACAAGATGATAGGTACCAAACTTATCTTTACTGAACGGAACATGGCTCAGATCTGGAAATATCCGAACTAAAAGATTTCCGACACAGAGGAAAAACTTTCAAGTTATAGACCGATATACCGCATATTTATCAAAACTCTATTATATGTATATACATCCTCGTTGGACCTAACAAATATTTACCGTATGTTTAATGTCAATAAATTGCTGAAGATTCCATATCATTATGTGACTTGTTAGAGCGTTCTCTTGTTTACCATCTATGTTATCCTTTCCGTTATCACTAGATATTATTTGCACTAGTAAAATAATCGTTACCTTAAGGAAGAATCGTCACCCCAGTCAATTACAAGTATTACTAATTTTAAATAATAATAAATATTTAAGCATTTTACAAGTGATATAAGCAGAATTAACCAAAAGAAGAGAAAGTTATTTTATCATCTAGTGGTTTCTTGTTGTTGCAGATTAGATTAGAGTACAAGTAAGTAAAAGATAAACAGAAACAGTAGTTTAATGGTTGTTTTATTTAGGTTCTGCTACTTATTGTACGCTCCGAAAGCTTTTATAAGTACAATATTAAATTTAGATAATGGAGAATATAATATACTACTAAAACGACTATCCATAGTTTTTATTTTTACTGAAAATGACTTAGTTAATTAAACGGAACATATTTTACATGTTTATATTGTTCCATAAAAAAGTCAATGTTCGTAATTTAATCATCCATCTACAGTAATAGAAGTCACTTTAGTAATTAATAACTGTCAGAGTTGATAACAACCCCTGAAAATTTAAAAAATATATAATACTATTAATGTTCACTAGGGCGCACTGACTAGATTAGTGAGTTATTCATGTAGCTAGCGATACGCTGCGATCCTCATTGTTATGTGAAATTTGGTATTAACAAGGCTTTGACCTCACCTCTGCGAAAAGTAGGAACTAAAATGAATTTTGAAAGACTTTATTTTACAAAATTCTATTATATTTGTATGAGATGCAAATTGAATTTCTGGTTCACAACATAAGCAACTAATTATTTTATCCTTATTTATATTTAAATATGTACGGCAATCTTATTACCTACTTCAATCAAAACTCACAAAACAAACTAGAGGTAACAGAGAAGCGTATAACTAGTGTAATAACTTTAACAACATGAATTTTGCTGTTAATTAACTTCTCGACTAACTTACGGAGAGTTATTGATGTTGATGTGGCAGGTCAAATTAAGTGCATTGCCTCTTTTGACGTTTATTGCAAACTTAATTAACAATAGACACATTTAATCAAATGTCCAAAACCACGGAGATCGTTTAAATGGATATAATAAGATGTTCGTACCTTTTTTACTGGAAAGAAAGAACTTTTAGACGTATCTAGGCACAGATTTCAGGGGAGGTTGTTAAAAATCGAAGGGAAGCAGATGTTATCAAGTAAAGGGGAACATTCCATGAACTGTAGGAAAATGTAGCTGGGGGAAAAATTTGGTTTTTGCACAAAATAACTACAGGACGAAAACGGGTCTATCTACTTTCCACATAATCTGCATATGATTTATATGATAATCTCCAAATGGGAGAGATGTTGTCCCCAAAGTTTGTAAAATAGAGGTTTAAAAGCGTTACTTTAGAATTTGACTTTAAAAATTACTTAACTAATTTACTGCCTCTTTTCAGAAGACGTCATGGACAATCTGATAGTCGATGGTACCTCCAACCTCAGAGTACTAATGAATTTTCAGTCATTCCGTAAAAATTCACTCCCTTTGGGCTAAAAAAGTCGCCTCATTTATGATTTTTAAAAATCTATTAATTTGAATAACACTTTTTTGGTATTTAAGACGGGTGTTAAAATAATCCTACCACTAAGACAATTCGAAAAACTTGCAATCGGAATTTCAAAAATGAGCCATGATAATAAAGCCAATCAGACTGTGTAGAAATATAAAGCAATGAGATATGAAGGAACGCGTGTTTAGTGACTCACCCTGTATATGTAAAAATCGAAAATTTGGTAAATTCAGAAGGCAGTTATTATAATTAACTTCTGTTTAACAAATGTGTGACTGTAATTCTGTTCTTGAGTTGTGTTAAACATGTTTAATGGCAACTTTGCGTTGATGGATTCAATTCCTGTTGGCGTGTAAGTAGACGATAAGGAACGCAATATCGTATTAAATAATCCAAAGTAGGAAAACGAATATTTAATTTTCACCCTGTTGAGGCGATCAGTTCTGGAAAAATTAGCATGAAGATCAACCAAGACATAATCGAGGGGTGAACACAATTAAAAATTAAACCTTAGGGTAGCGAAGATTAAAGCACATCTCTGCGATTGAAATGCGTGGATTAAAACGAATCCATTATTCATTCAAGTACTTTGAAGCCTGCCTTGTAATATTCCCTCTCGCAATATAGCGAGTTCGAGATCTATAATATGCCTAGATATGAACTACAAATCTGAATACCGGAAACGAGCTTTTTTCATAGGAAATATCCAATAATGTGTTCATCCACGAGTAAAAAGCGTATTATGGAAGAACGTGTCTGCGTCGGGGCGAAGAGGAATGCGACTGCTGGCAATTTTCATGAAGCGGATGGCACTTGAAAGCTTGACAGCTTAAGTCGATGACATCGGAGGAGCTCTCCGGCATTGTTTTATAAAGCTCGGCTTTCTGTATGTTTTGAATTTAATGAGTTTTCCGCCGAGCTAAAGGTCGTGGTCTCTTTACATGAAATATTCATTTTTATTTGGCGAGGAACAAATATTTTTAGTACGCACTTGGATGGAATTAGTCGAACGAGGCACTTTTTTCTTGATTAACGTCATGTTCCGTGTATAAAATGATTGCGCGTGAAAGAAATTGCGAGCTCGACATGGCCACATTAATAATTCAAAAGGGTGTGTGTCTGATGACACAACATGGTTAATATTTTTAGAATTCTAAAAAAAGTGTAACGAAGTGTTTTATTGTAGCGGATGCTACGTAAACAGGTTGCTTTTGCGATTTAGGAGAATGATAAGTTTATGGTAATGACAGCGAGGAAGTGTTGCGTACGAAAGTTCGAGCAAAAAACGAAATCTCGTCTTAAAAGAGGTGCTTATTCCCGTGTTAACTTTGTAATACTAACCTTGTTGTCATATGATTCTCGTAAATCTTTTGACTCGACGGATAACTTTCCTGGAAGTTCGAACGTAGATTTAATGTGAGAACATAAAAGGTTCTTCCGCCAGAAGTTTAAAATGAATAAAGTCAAGAAGAAAGTGCGAGTGGATTACATGTCTTAGATTGATAGCGACAGATTTATATATATCAAAACCGAAGGATAAAATTTGTTAAAGAAATTATCTGCGCGCACATATCGTAATCAGGGAAACTACTTATTAGTGGTAAATCTTTTGATCTAGTTTTATTTTTCATAATGTGTAGACACACGCAGTTTGAGATGACTGAAATCGTCAGCAGTGTTCAACATAATTTGGAAGTTTGCGAAGGTACGTCTTTATAAATTTACAAAAAATAAGTCATACAAAGTAGACGGCTTTAAGTGTATGTAAGATGTAAGTTTACTGAAAAAAATTTTATTTTTGAGATTCCGTGCGGAAATGAGCAAAGACAATCCAAAGCTGGTGACGTTTTCACCAATGCTGATAATCCTAAAAATTTATTGTTTTTGTGGTCAAAATATTAATACATTTTTTTCAATAAAGGTACTACGTTCCTACCTTCGATACAATTTTTTTAGCCAATAATTTTGATGTTTATTAGTGTGTACCTACAAGCTGATAAGATGCGAAAGATTTACATTGTTGATGTGTGCATTTACTGATATGTAATTTATTAGATTAACGTCAAAATTAAATTTGTTACAATTTTTAAATATAATTAACTAGGAAAGAGTTAAACGAAAACATTTTAAAGTTTCTTGGTATTAAAATTTGTTCCATCAAGACAGATTATAATAAATTATTGTAACGGGTGTTCAATTGAAAAATCACTCAGAGTAGGCGTTGGAATATCATTTGACAGAAACGGCATGTCTGTTCTTATAACACGTAACATACAACAGGTTATGTTTCTGCCAAATGGAGAGTTATAAGTACAGACATGCCCTTTGTGTCAAATGAAATTCCAACGCCTACTTTGCTATTTCAATTACACCCGTTATTTCTTAATTTTTTTTTACTCTAAAACTTTGTACACCTGTCAAAAGAAGTAACTTTTTATATCTATTTACTACAGAAAGTACAGTGTAATGTGTATTTTTATCATTCTTGTTTAGAAGTCAAAAATGTAAAATCAAGCATTTTGTTACGAAGTAATGTTACATAGTTTGCTCTTTGCTTAAAAAAAATCTGTGAAGTGATTTATCGTGAACTTGCCCTAATTTTGAAGCATATGCAAGTCTGCCTACATGTTAGACACAATTTTTTAATACAGACATATTTAAAAAAATGGTCCTATGCAATTTGGACAGAACTTCCCTCTCCCCTGAAGTATTCTACAACATATCCAACTTCTCCTAAAATTAAAAAGAAAAAAAAAAAGATTTTGCGAACTTATTTTTTTCTGTGATTACCGCTGGAAGTTAAAATCAAAATATCTATGTAAAGGTAAAGAAGTGAATGTTTTCATAACAATATTTTGTGATGACGTCATCAACATTTTAGCATGGGCACATATATCAATTTTGAAGTGTAATACTAATAATAACAGTACTGTATTCCCAAATTTTCGAGAAAAAGGTGTGGGCCGCTTCTGACTTGATCAGTAAAATAAATAGCCCCATTAATAATTTTTTTGAGTCACCCTGTATTAGTAATTCTGAAAACGTGAATACATTGATAGGTAAATAACAGACTCATAGTATTTTGCACCAATTAGATAGGATTTATTCGTTAAAATTTTGAGATGACGGATTCATAAGCCATCACAAGTGTTGGAGTATAATAATTTATAAAATTTAAATAATATTTACTACGCAATATTTTGACAAAATTTGGTTAGCGTTTTATAGCAATCCCAGAGTGACTTCGTTTTTATGGCCTTCAGACTCAAAATCGGCCTATTGTACAAGAACTCCTCTACAATAGGATGCAGTCATAAAAACGAAGTAACTCTGGGACTACTATACCATCTATCAGTAGATTCCGAGATTATTTGTCTAATAAAATGGATACAGATAGACGAACAGTCAGATAAACAGACGGAAAAGGAAGACCTGTTTTTTCGTACTCTAACGAAACGTCGAAATCGTATTACAATAAGTATAATAATAATATAATAATGAATTTGGCAATCACAAATTTTATCATAACTTTTTATAACAAACATATTATACGTATTAGGTAGGTACATAAAAGAGATATCATGCTATAAATTTTACCAAACATTGTTCAGTAGTTTTATAGTTTTGGAAATTTCATTCTACCCTATAAAATTTGATTGACAAGACGGACAGTGGTACAATGGCAAGAAGTATTTATGGCTCACACCAGTTCACCCGAATTTATTGGGGAACATTTAGCCAATAGTTGTACTCATAAAATAATGCTCATTTTCGTTCATGAGTAACGATGGGCTCTGGCCGGACCTGGATTATACTGCTTTCTAACATCTGGGGATTACCGGCACGCGACAATTTTAAGTTGTAAATATCTCGTACTATTATAATACTGTCCATTTCGTTATTGCCAATAAAATTTTATAGGGTATAATGAAGTTTCCAAACCTATACCATGCCTACAGGACAAGTACACACATAATCTAAAAGTATAAATAAGAGGCTCCTTATTTTCGAAAATTAATTATCAAACAGATGGAAACACAATGAACTTAAAAGTTCTAATAATAATTAAATGCAAAAATGGTATTTAAACAGAACTGTCCTCGCCTCTAAAGCACAACCGAACAAGTCCTTTGATAAATTATAAAATTTTATTCTGCAGAGCTTATTTTCTTAACGATGACGCCTGTATATAGGGTGGTGACACCCTATATACAGGCGCTTAGTGATAAGCGCGCGCTCCTCGATATCTCATTAATTATTATAAATAGAGAAAAATATATGTACTAAAATTATTTTCAACTATAGATGGTGGCGTGTTTTTAAGGCAACATATACATAACTTAGTTTTTACAAATACAGTGCGCTATATACTTTTATATATTCTGATTGACCTCTTCTTGGGCTTTACAATTTTTAACTTAGCTATAAAATCATCCACCTTCCCTGACACTTGGAAGATAGCCAGAATTACTCCCGTATACAAAAAAGGTGATGCTTCTATGATAAAAAACTACAGACCTATTTCTATACTTTCGAATTTTGCTAAAATTTTTGAGATACTCATTTATAGAAATATTTATCACAATGTTAAAAGTCTCATCTCTATACATCAACATGGATTTTTACCTGGACGATCTACAATCACTAATTTAGCTATAATAAGTCAATTCATTTCACAACAAATAGATAAGAATGGACAAGTCGATGTCGTCTATACTGATTTTTCTTGTGCGTTTGATTCCATTGATCAACATGTTCTTTTATGTAAATTAAGTTGGTTTGGATTTGCATATAGTTTCTTAAAGCTAATGGAGTCTTACCTTGACTCCCGACAAAATTATGTTTTCTATAATGGTTTTCAATCTAAAAATTTTGTTTCCACCTCTGGAGTGCCACAAGGGTCTAATTTAGGGCCTTTACTTTTTGTAGTGTTTGTCAACGATCTTTTGGACTCATTACGTTGTAAAGTGTTAGCATATGCTGATGATATAAAACTATACTCCTCAATAAGATGCTTAGATGATAGCATTTTGCTTCAAAATAATCTTGAAAGGATGGTAGACTGGTGCAAAGAATTCAAATTACTATTAAATACTGATAAATGTTTCATTATGACCTATACAAAAAAATTAAATCCAGTTTGCTTTTCGTATCTTATAAACGATAAATCAATTAAAAAAATACAGTTAGTAAAAGATCTGGGTATCACATTTGACTCACATTTATCGTTTACTCAACATATGCATAATATATGTCTATCTTCTTCGAAAATGCTTGGCTTTACATTTCGACTTACAAAAGATTTCACTGACCCACAACTAATGAAAATGTTATACTTCTCATTTGTTCGAAGTAAACTAGAGTATGGGTCTATTATCTGGTATCCGTATTATGAATCACATAGGCTTGCCATAGAAAAAGTTCAACGTCGTTTTTTAAAATGTTTATCGTTTAGAATAGATGGAATCTATCCAATTAGGGGAATGGAATATAATTTGTTATTAGCACGACACCAAATTCATAGCTTGAGTAGCAGAAGACAATTGTACAGTGCTAATTTTTTATGGAATTTAATTCAGGGAAAAATTGACTGTCCTATTTTATTGGCCAATGTTAATTTTCACGTACCACGTCTCTTGTGATTCATCCTTTCATTCATACTTTTTAGATTGCTTATACAGGGTGACTCAAAAAAAATGAATGATTCAATTTGTTTTATTGATTAAATAAGGGACTGCAAAACCGAATGCTTTGAAATCTTGCGAAAAAAAAATGAAATAATGTAACGTCGCATCGTAATTTTAAAATAAACTATGGTTATAAAAAAACTAAGTTGTGGGTTATGCCTCGAAAAGAAAACATTGTGTATAGTCGAAAATAATATTAATGTCTGGTACTCAAAGAGCCGTACAACTTTATTCTCTGACTTTTTTGTAGTGATTCACCCTGTATATTAAAATACAAAATAATACCTGTCCTCAGTGAAAATTATTAAATTATAATATTAAATTTTTTTCGATTTAATCTTTAGCATTAATTATTATTATTTTATCAATTTCCATCTTTTAATAATAATACGAAATAAGTTATAAAAGGGCCGCGCCAACAACGTTACATATCGAAGCACACTTTTAACAAAGATTTATTTAGTTCATTTTAAGATGACGTCAACAACTTTCTGGGGGGATGGATAAATAAATTTTAATCGTTGTCCTATAATCATTAAATCAAGTCACTATCTTGCTAAAATTAAAGAAAAACGTTGGTAAACACTACGTTTTTTTACGATAACATATATGCATTATTAAAAATGTGGATCATGAAATCATAAATAAAGGAGCACACCGTACTATAAATAAATAAATCTTAAGTAAGATTTATTTAAGAAAATTTTGTGATGACATCGTCATCTAGATCCGATCAAACAAATGTCTGTTAATGTTTCACGATATATTTTTTTTTAAATAAACATCTAAAATTTCACAAAATTAGTCGAGAAGTTTCGAAGACTGTCTCAGCCAAATGAAGCGGAAGCCTTATTTTTTCGTGTTTTAGAAGTTATGAAAAGCCAACAAAACATGAAATTAACCATTCTTCAAATAAATTGTGTTAGAATTCTTCCGTATTTTAATTGCCTATTCAACTGACAATAAACAAAATAAGGTGATGAAATATATTGATCTACTTAACGTTTAAATTTGGTGGCAAGTTGTATGAAATATGGTTATTAACGACATAAATCACTTACTAAGCGGTTTTACAATGGTTTTCGGTGTTTTGGGTGATACAAATTTCGTTTTTCTGTTTACTGTAGACGGTTTTATCATAATCGAATAAAAATATGTGTCTAACAGAAAAATTAACCCAATAGTGATGAATTTTGTTGTTTTCGTGCCATCAGTTACTAAAAAGTTGTATAATAAAAGTTTAAATTTCTTTAATTCTTTTTGTCTTAAAGTTAGTTTAATTTCGCGTTATCAAAAATTCTAGGAAAAAAAAACTCAAGAACGTATAGTCTGTGTAGCAATAGTGATTGTACATACTGTAAATACGATAGGAATGAATGTGGTCGAAGGTTATACAAATGTTTAACAAGAAAAAGCAGTCCACGTAGGAGATTTTGCAAGACAAATATTTTAAATTGTTCTAAATCAAGAAACACGATTGTTTATGAAACGATGTCTTAAAAATTAAAAATGTTAAGAGGAATTCCAATAAAAGTAATTTAGACACATTAAACACGAAAAAGAAAACAAAACAAATTTATAAAACAAGAAAAAGAATGAACAAATAGAAAATAAAAAAAAGAAATTCTGTCATGTTAAAAATTTAGAAAGACAACAGAATGTTCGGTCACAAAGCAAAATTGGAGACAGATGGTGACATGAAAGTTTATTTCTGACATTTGATTCACGCCATATTTACCGATTAAAAAAACAATGCAAATGTACGTGTACATAGATAAATATTCAACAATTAAGGCTGTTTTACATTCATTCCAGCTGCATTTTAACTTCGCACCTTTACTCACATCCCACACGTTTATCGTGAAAGCTTGGTATACACTTGCTAAACCCTCGTGTTTTAAAACTCAACACGATCTAATTAATTATTATTTTGTCGTGCGCTTCAACAATTTCGTCGTCGAACCCGTCACAAAATTAATTTTCACTAACACAACACTGGAGTGTGCTATCAATAACTTATGACATCGTCCAATTATTTCTGACATAATCGATCGATACCGAAGATAACACTAACAATAATTAACAATAACAAGAACCATCGTTTCCAGATTCCGACGTAACGTACAAAAAGGGCAATACGTCAGCCTGGCTGAATGGTCTCACAATAGCTACTGCCGAATTCATTGGGACGGCATTGTTGGTTTTTCTAACATGTATGGGATGTACGAAGGAGATGTTTGGGGAAATTATTCCTGTTGCGCAAACGAGCTTGGCCAGCGGTTTGTCCGTCATGACAGCTATTCAGGTGAGGTATTGAGCTATTCAGAAAATCACAGGGCTTGAGTTTTGTATAGAGAGTTGGTTTTGTCTTCGGGGGACGTGAACATGGAAGGGTGGAAGAAAACGGGTGAAATGGGGTATTTGACAGATAGACAGACGTGTGTGAAGGCATGTGTTCTAATTGCAATGGGATTTTTAAATCGGTTCATCTCTGAGTGAATAGTGTCAATAAGCTCTTAGAGAGCTTTGTTGTTGGTTTGAAAAGAGAACTGGGACAAGTACACAACTTACGTTTTAATGTAGTACCCAGATAACAGGAGATTATTAGGATGACCATTTGGAAATTTGTTGCCTACACATAAGTACCTATGTAAATTTAGGTGCTAATGTAATCAATAATATCAGGAGTGAATGATATGACAACAGTGCTTCAAAAATGATTATTTTCAAAAATAAAGTGAACATCAAAGTTTATAGTTTTCAGACTCAAATGTGTAGCAACCATATGTGTTTTTCTAGCATTTAGTGAATTTTTGAAATATAAATAAAATCTTTGTCCTTCTTGCAGTCCAAAATTGCAACGAAAAAAGCAACATGTTTCAGAAAAAATTAGTTTGAAGCTATTTAAGAAAGAACTTGGCTCGGCCTTGAAGTACAATCAAACAAATAAAATTTTTTGTAATGTCAGGTATATGAATTTAGTTATTTATTAATAATAAAAATAGTAGGTAATGTATTCCCAAAATTTCGAGAAAATGAGGTAAGCTCTCAATAAAATAAAGTACATACTTCATTTATAATTTTTTTTTGTGACTCTATACCGGGTGTCTGGAAAATGGCGGATTAACTTTTCAGTACGTTATGTACGGGGGTTTCGGGAGTCCGAAAGACATTTATAAATTATAAATAAAAACAAAACCAACAAAAGAAAAATCCATTAAAGCATAACCAACTAAAGATATTCAAAATTCATGCCTTGTGCATATAAGTAAGCTCGTAAAGTTTCCAAATTTTGATCATTTTTTGTAAAAGTTAGTCATCAGTACTTGCTAAAATAGAACTAATTTTGGCAAATGGCATACTCTCTAAGAAGAGAGGGTGGGTGGGCGGACCTAGTAGCTGCTAAGATAGGATTGATTTGGGCAAATGAGATACCCTCTAAGAAAAGAGAGGGCGGGTGGGCGGGGCTAATACCTGCTAAGATAAGACTGATTTTAGTAAATTATGACGTATCTTGTAAGCAATTTTATTAAATTATTATAAGAAAAGACACTTAGAGGCTCGAAAGCACTTGCAAATTCCTTCCAAACAGGAATACCTAGAACCTGAAGATTGTTTTAAATTTTTCAAAAAAAAAAAAAAAAAAAACTGGGTCCCAAAATTAGCTGAAAAACAGGTCAGGTCAGAATTTACCAAAAATAGAACACCAAACTCCTCGAAATTTGTTTTAAATAATTTACAATAAAAATCTCCATGCGCTCCCAAAATAATACACCACGGGTACCCAAACACTACGGCACTCAAGACTTTTTCAGATTCGTAAAAAGTAAAACACTAAAAGTTCAAAAGATTTTTTCAAGTCCAACAAGCAACAAAACACCAGATTCCTTTAAATTTATCCGAAAATAAAACACCAGGGGACTTAAAATTAACTGTGAACATTTTATACGTATGAAAACTTTGACAATTTTTGATACGTCAAATATTTTTAACTGCTTACTCTATTTTCGCTGGAATTTTATCAAATTATTACAAAAACAACACAACCATATCTTTGTACATTCTAACTGAAATGGTAATTAAACATGGTCATGGGTCAGAGAAATACTGACTAAAAGTTTTATTAGTTATTGTGATAATGAATGTGTTGTTAAGTTATTAAACGTATCAAAAAAAAAAAACAGTTTTAAAATCATTACAACTCCACCAAAATGTGAGAAAGATTTCTTTTTACTATTTTTCCCAGACTCACCAACTGATTGTTAACAGCGTAGCGGAGAGTTAATCCGTCATTTTCGAGACACCCAGTATAAGCAATTGTAAAAAATATTAATGCATTGATGAACCACAAGTATAGATTTTGTATATTTCAGGTGGAAATGACGTCATGAAACTTTTGAGGGGATAAACATATAAATTTTGGTTAGTGATTTACAATGCTTACGATAACCTTAAAGACCATATCAATGATTTGTTGACTTTTTTAGTTTTTCAATTATTTGAAATAAAAATTCAAAAAGTATCAGGAAAAATCAAAAACTGTGAGTTTTAATTATTAAGTTTTTGATGGCGTTTTATTTTTATTTACTTACTGTAATTTTCATTTTGCACGTATTTTAACACACATTCACAGTTTGCGATTACGTATCATGTTTGAATCGTGTTTCTGCGAGTTTTGAGCAGTAAAAATAGTTTCATTTATTTTGCTAAATAATAATAGTGTTATTTATATTTATAATGTTTACTCGAAAAATTTTAATAATCAGTGTTTTGATATCTGCTCTTAAAAGAAAAAATTGGTTTAGAGTAGTAGACAGAATTTTCTTCTGAAGTAGATCCAGCCTCTTCGAAAAAAATATAACATTTGATCTTGAGAATTATTTTTTTTTTATAATAACCCATATAAGTTAAAAAAATCTAGATGGATTCATAAACCACAAGTTTAAATAAAAGTAAAGTTAAATTTTAAATAGCATTTACCTGCAGATTTTTTTGATGACGTCATCAAATTATTGGTAGGGATGATCACATAAATTTTGGTTAACGGTTTACCACCTGCGATATTTATAACACGTACGTCTAAAATTTGGCAACAATCGGTGAAATTGTTTGGATATTGGATATGTTTAATAAAAAAGAGAGACAGACAGTCAACCAGATGGAAATAGAAGATCTATTTTTTCATACTCAATCAGAACAGAATTACCGTTTTATTTTATTGGAAATATTTTATTTCAGTCAGTGTTCAGTTTATTTTAGTTTAAACTTTTGCATTTAAAAATGGACATAATTTGACGAGAAAATTTAAATCATGCTTTAAATCAAATGATATAAATCGGACAAATTTTGCAGTTTGTAAGTCAACAGATGACCTTCGAAACTACTGGACGGATTGTTGTCAAATTTTATATGTATATTGGAATTCATGTTTGTTAGAAAACTAACCAAATTTTGGCTAATCATTCCCACCAACAATTTGATGACGTCATCTCCAAAATTTACAATACACAGTAAATTTCTTTTTATTTTTATAAAATAAGATATTTCTGCTGAGCTCTGCACTTGTGGTATAGGAACCGATGTTGAGATTTTACCCTAGACATCAAGATTTTTTGAAAAAAATCGTATAACAAAATTTTGCAATTTAACTTTGAAAGTGCAAAACCGAATTATTTGAAATCTAACAAACGTTTGAAGGTTATCGTAACCATAGTAAACCGTTAATCAAAATTTATTTATTTATTCCCTCCCAAAAAATTGATGACTCTAAACTTGTGGTTTATCAATGCACTCATAGTTTTTAGAATTACATTTACCGGGTGACTCAAAAAATTAATGAATGCGGCAATATACTGTATTAATTCAACCAAAAACGACTCATTCTATTTTCTCAAAAGTTTGGGAATACAGTACAAATTGTACGTGCCCTGGCAAAAATGTTGATGACGTTATCACAAAATTTGTAATGGAAAGGTTCACTTGAATAAACTCGTAGCACGCTTTTCTACCTTTACTTTAACGTTACATACATAAATATTTCAATTTATAAGTGTTATAATAAAAAAATAAAATTCGCAAAATCAAAACAAAATTTTTCGAAAAATCTGGATTAACTGTAGTGTACTTCAGGGGCGAGGGAAGTTCTATCACACTCTTTTCACTTCAAATTAAGGAAATGTGCCCTTTGTCGGTATCTTCAAAACAATGTTTCGATCTTTTCCTTGGACATTAAGATATATCGTGTATTGGGGATCTGGATTCTGGATTCTTAATTTATGGGGGCTGACCGTAGCCAGCCGGCACCTAGGCCTCGCCTTTGGGCCCATTGTACCTTCCCCAAGTCCATATCAGGGTGTTTTCCCGCTCCTCTACTCGTCAAGCCACCCAACTGCTTGAATGTACTTGAGTAATGCAGAGGGTGGAAACTCCCTGATATTTGCCATACTAGGCCAGATGTCCCCTAGTATGGATTCCCTGTAGGAGGCTAGGGCTGGACACTCACGAAGAATGTGCTCAGCTGTTTCCTCTTCTTCATTGCATCCACGACAGATTGGGTCTGTTACCACCCCTATCGTATATAGATGTTTGTTAAACTGGTAATGTCCCGTAAGGAATCCTACCAGTTTACGCAGTTTGTCCCTTGAAAGTGAGAGATAAAATTTCGTCAACTTACGGTCTGGTGTCGCCATACAAGCTCTACTATGCCGACAGCTGCTCAACTTCACCCATATCTGCTCATGGCGTCTCTGGGTATATTGCTTTACGAGTTCGTTCGAGAGGGCGACCGAAGGCGTGATTGCCGGTTCAGGTCCCCAGAAGGGCATGCGCGCGGCTCGCTTCGCCATCTCATCTGCCCTCTCGTTTCCTTCGTTGCCACTGTGTCCTTTGATCCAACAAAGTTCCACACTATTCCTCTGCGTTACATACTTTAGCGTTTGTCTGCACTCCCAAACCAGCCCGGATCGAACCATACAGCTGTCCAGGGCTAGTAGTGCAGACTTGCTGTCAGTAAGTATGCGTATTGATTTGTTGCCGATTTCACGTTCAGCAATGATTCTAGCTCCCAGTATTATTCCCATCAGTTCTGTTTGTAAGACAGACGTGTGGGTGCCAAGAGGTACACTGATTTGTGCGTTCAGTTGTTCGGAGTAGATGCCGGCTCCTGAACCACTATCTGTTTTGGCACCATCGACATAGATATCTATGTCGGCTCGTCCTTCTGAATTATCATTCATTGATATTCTATATGTCTTCTCATATATTAATTTTGTGCCCATTCGGTCACAACCCATCCTTAACAAGGGTATTCTGTTGAACGCCTCCGTTAAGATCCGAGTGTGCTTCGTTGTGCGGCCTTGTTTGTTCCATACTCCCAGAGAGTGAAGTCTTAGAGACGTCGTCATTGCCGCTTCCTCTATGTAAAGGTTAAGAGGTGCTAAGCAAAGAAGAGTCTCCAGAGCCGCTGTGGGAGTGGTCCTCATTGCTCCTGTAACACTGAGACACGCCATGTATTGGGGATCACTGGAAGTATCATTTTTTTTATGGGTTTCCAGTAGTTTCGAGTCTTTATACGTAAACGAGTGACCCTACTAAGGACTAGTACCGGATAAAAATTTACAATATGGCCTACAGTTTACATGTGCCCAAAAAGTAACCACGAATTCATAGACCACAAGTATTTTATAAAATTTAAGTGGGATTTACTTTTCAAAATTTTGAGATGACGTCATCAAATTATTGGTGATCATCAAAAAAGATTTGGTTAGAGTTTTAGCATTTACAGAATATTTCTAAAACACATCTAAAACCTCACAACAATCAGATTATCTGTCTAATACAATTACAAACAAATGACAACAGACGGTAAAGGGAGACCTACTTTTTCATACTCTTGGGGTTATGAAATGTCGAGAATATATGAAATTAGCGGTTCGCTCGACGGACCCTATTAGAATATTTTCCTAGCTTACCCTCGGGAAGTGAAAATAATGGGAGGGTAAAAGTCGTTAGGGTATGATTTACCGAACTTTGCCAAAAATAAGGAACGTCTTTAGTTGCAGCTTCACAAAAAAAATAATTAAAATCATTCACAATTTTTAACTATATTTATAATGCTCAACAATAACACTTATGTAATGCTTCTGCTGCAACTTAAAGCCAAAAGAAAAAAATCAAAACCAGAAATAATTTCACCACCTTGTTAAAACACGATCTGCATCCGTCTACCCAGCTGCCACCTCAGGGCGTCTTAATAATGGTTTTCAGCTACTGAACAAATTCCAAAAACGGAATTTATCACACCCCAGCCTCATATTCCTGAATACTAGATAATAATACCCCGACCCTGAAAATTATAGGCACGAACAAGCTCGAATTAGAATTTTTTAATTTCGTCTTTATTAAATTTTTTGTATGCGGTTTCAGATCTTCGGCCACATCTCTGGGGCTCATGTGAACCCAGCAATCACGCTTTGCGCTGTAATTATGGGCGAAATTTCCCTGACATCGGTACCGATTTATGTGAGTTCCCAAATTGCGGGTTCTTTGACCGGCTATGCACTTCTTACGGTAATAAATCATTTTGTAATAAATGCAGAGACAGCTTAACCACTGATTTCAGGCTGTAACACCGGATAAATACCTTGACACAGCTGGACACTGCGCCACTGCCCCTCACATGGAGATCTCACTAATTCAAGTAAATTTTCTGTAGATACACCTCGTTTATTTTGGTTAGGTGACAACAAATTTATTATATTGTACCGAATTTGTTCTTAATAACGGTTACATCATATATTAATTTGTGTTGTCTTGACAACGCCGCGATAGTCCACAATGCTACAAATTTTTGAAATGACACGTGATGAAAATAAACGAGGTTTATGCAATGGATTCAAATTTTCACGTTTTTATTCAAGGCATGTGTGGTGGAATTTCTCGCTACGTTTATTATGGCGCTTGCTATCTGCGCTTCGTGGGATCCGAAGAATAGCTCGAAGGGCGATTCGGTTCCTATAAGGATTGGTCTCATTGTGTTTCTGTTAAATATATCGGCGGTATAACAATAATCATCCGATTTTATTTTCGTCGTTCATTTGTTTTTTTAGGGTGCGTACACTGGTGCCAGTATGAACCCTGCACGGAGCTTAGGGCCGATTGTTTGGAATCACTACCGGTGGTATACGCACTGGGTGAGTTATTTTGTGGTTGAAAAGCCATTGTTTAGGATGCTTCAAGCACAAAAAGACGATTCACTATAAAATGTTGTTTTATAAAATAGCTATAAATGGCGGGATAAGTGATATATTTATTAGATCAGGAAAATACAATGCGAATTATAGATTTTCAGTTAATGCTTATGGTTTAAAACTTTTTTGAGGATGATACATTATAATACCAATTGATTATTAATGTTTGTTATTTTTTTGCCAGGCTATTTAAAATTTTATGATAGCATATCTGACTGTCAAAACCAAGACGTCAACAAAGTCAGCTGCCACCTTCTAATTACGTTTTTAGATACGCTCATGTCAAAACCAGAGATATGTAAAAGACAGATGCGGTTATAGCTTTCCCGATCTAGGGCCAACATCTATGATCTAAGAGTAGCAATACTTTGTGTCGCCTATCCTTTTCTATATCAGCACCAGTACTATGGATTGCCAACTGTAGGCTACATCGATCACTCTCTAAAAGGTGGTTGTCTTGTTATTGGCCCGTTCTGATGGCGGCAATTATAAATAATCATAACCACCCACAGTCTGAGTAGTCTGACAGGGACCGGCACAAACACAAGAACGGCATCAACGACAAACGTTGCGCCAACTGATTGGTTGCGCCGTACAGAGCGAGACCTTCAGATATCGGGTTACATTATACGTGCTAGAGAAAAAGAGGGAGATATAAACGTACAGTGACATTTTGGCCCTAAACGTATGTCCGCGAGAACATTAAATATCTGTATCTAGTCTTTTACATATCTCTGGTCAAAACTGAGAACTGTGAGCTGACATGTTAACATTGCTGCCAATAGTTCAGAATTGCCAACACAAAAATTTGCTTCAATCATTAAATATCACTCGCTATAAATGCGGATTTTTGAAAGTCACGTTTTCTACTATTCCTGACGTATTTGGTTACAAGAATTTAGTATATCCACGTAAAACTTTGACAAGCAAAATAAACTTGATGCTGTGCAAAAACTGAATCAATAAACGGAAAAAAAACAAAAACTGACGCCAAAGTTTGAAAAAAGTGATAACACATTTCGCAATTTGACAACGTCAACTTTGGTTTTTATTTGGAACGCTATTTAAAATTATTTCATATGTGTTAGGTCAGGAACAAATTAGTTAGTATACATTAACAATTATAAATAGTACTGTTCGCGTATTTTATAGTTCAGGGTTGTTCCTTGTTGTTTTTATAAATAAATTAGACCTACAAATCTTTCTCAAAACTATCTGTGTTGACTTTCTAAATTACAATTTTATGCGTAGAACTGTCATATTTGACAGATTGTTATTTGAACAGTTTATTTGATATTCAGAGTAAACTCTATAATCTGAAATATATTGTTTAAATAAATATGAATTGTCTTCTAAAGGTTTTTAAAAATGTAAAGTTATTCAGAGAGAACTCTCCTCTCCACTGAAGATGGGTTGGTTAAATTCAATTTCTTAGATGAACCATGAAAATTTAATTTGAAATTTGTATTTTTTCATGAAAAAAATTGGTCTAATGTTATTAAACACGCCTCCCTGCCCCTGAAGTATAATAATCAAACAAGTTCAGTTTTTTAGAAAAATATATAGATAATACATAGCATTACCAGTCACTGTTTCAGAAAAAAAAGATCATGAGGGGATCGAACTCGTGACCTTCACGGGATTAGCACTACGTTCTAACCGCTGCTCTGATCCATATTACTAATCTAACACAACCTAACTCTTTCACCTCTGTAAAAAAGTCAGATTGTGAATACTTATAGCAAAATGAAAAATATTTTTGGTGACCTATTCAAATTTTGATTGTGTACGAGTGACTTTTTTTACAAGTGGAAACACTCAGTAATGTAAGAAATTTAAAATTCAACATTTTGATTTTTTTACGAAAATTTAGGTCCTTAGGGTAAAAAATTGGAATGGATTCATAAACCACAAATACAGGAGAATGTTATTTGTATAAAATTTCACAAAAATCAGTCCTTTAGTTTCGCAGATTTCTTACCTAATAAAATATTAACACCGACAATAGACAAATGGAAATGGAACACCTATTTTTTCATACTCTAGGGGTAACGTCCAGAAAACATGTAGTTAGTAGTAGGCGTTCGCGTGATAGATCCTGTTATGTATGTACAATACATTCTTAGCTTACGCTAAAAAATAATAGTGTGTTCCCAGAATTTTCGCAAAATTAGATAAAACCATTTATTATTTAATTAGTAAAATTACTTGATTCACCTATTCTTTTTACTCCCGGAGCGTAGCTTAAGTATTCTGTAATCGCATCCATCGGGCGATTGGCTACTTTCATTTTTTCTGAACGTTTCATAACCCCTAGAACACGAAAAAATAGGTCTCTTGTTTTCGTCTGTCTATCTGCCGAATTCCATCTTTCCGCGTCAGTGTCGATTTTTATTAGACAAATAATCCCCGAAACTACCGGACCGATTGTTGTCAAATTTTGTATGTAGATATATTAGAAATATCGTGTAGATTGTAAAATTAACTTTTTACAAATATTATATACATTTTATAAAGGAACATACTACTCCACTTGTAGTTATGAACCCGTGTTGAGTGGTTACCCTAGGCATCCACATTTTTGAAGAAAAAACAAAAAAATTGGTCTAAAGAGTTTAGACAGTACTTCCCTCGCTGTCGGAAACTTGACGATTGCATGCCTATTGTGTTTTTTTTCTCATTACATTTTTGTAGTGGGAATTTAAAAAAAAATTGCGATGACGTCATCAACATTTTTGCAAGGACACGTATATCAGTTGGGATAGATGTAGTGTAATACTAAGAATAAAATTATTATATTCTCAAATTTTCGGGAAAATGAATTGGGTCGTTTGAATATTGATTTGTAATAATCAATAAAATAACGAAACAATTTACTCACGTATACCTACGTATCAGAGGCAACTAAAAATCGTGTATGTTAATTTAAGATGACAGGCGTAACAGCATACGTGAGAGCCAAACACAGAAACTGTAAACAAAACGACCGTCGGTTTTATTGCTTCGACTTCCGCTTATTATATAAAACATTGGGTTTTATTTTAATTCTTGACGGTGAAATTCACAATTGGTTGATTATAAACATGTCTATTTCGCATTCGCGGAACCAAGTGACCGCATAAAACAAATGCAGATCTGTAACGTTAAAGTCGATGTAAATAAGCGTGCTACCCTTATGTTTCAACCGAGTTTTTCCTTTAACAAATTTTGTGTCTACCAAATTGGGTTGGTTGGGGTGTAATACTAATAATAAGTGTTGCCTTTAATTTAATCAATAAAATAAATTGACTTCATTAATTTTTTTGAACCACCTCTTAAGAAAATCTAAAAAATATGAATGGAATGATAAATCACAAGTACAAACTCATCATATTTTTTGCATTTTAGATAGGATTTATTCAGCAAAATTTAAGGGTGACGTCATCAATTTTTTTAGGAGGGATGAACAAATACATTTTGAACAAAAGTTTACCATGCTTATAATAACTTTAAAATATTCCCAAGATTTCAAAGCATTCGGTTTTGTAATTCCTGATTAAATCGATAAAATAAATTCACGCCTTCATTAATTTTTTTGAGTCACCCTGCATATGCAAATTCAAAAATATGAATGGAATGATAAATCACAAGTACAGACTCATTATATTTTGTACATTTTAGATGCGATTTATTCGGAAAACTTTTGAGCTGACGTCATCAGTTTTTTGTAGAAGATAACCAAATATATTTTGACTAAAAATTTATTATGCTCTTTATAACCTTAAAACATCTGCAAGATTTCAAAGCATTCGGTTTTGTAGTTCCTGATTAAATCAATAAAATAAATTTACGCATTCATTAATTTTTTTGAGTCACTCTGTATATGCAAATCCAAAAAATATGAATGGAGTGATAAATGACAAGTACAGGCTCATCATATTTTGTACATTTTAGATATGATTTATTCGGCAAACTTTCGAGCTGACGTCATCAAGTTTTTGGAGGGGATAAGCAAATATATTTTGACTAAACATTTATTATGCTCTTTATGACCTTAAAACATCTGCAAGATTTCAGAGCATTCGGTTTTGTAGTTCCTGATTAAATCAATAAAATATATTTACGCATTCATTAATTTTTTTGAGTCACCCTGTATATGCAAATCCAAAAAATATTAATGGAGTGATAGTTCACAAGTACAGACTCATCATATTTTGTACATTTTAGATATGATTTATTCCACAAACTTTTGAGCTGACGTCATCAAGTTTTTGGAGGGGATAAGCAAATATATTTTGACTAAACATTTATTATGCTCTTTATGACCTTAAAACATCTGCAAGATTTCAGAGCATTCGGTTTTGTAGTTCCTGATTAAATCAATAAAATATATTTACGCATTCATTAATTTTTTTGAGTCACCCTGTATATGCAAATCCAAAAAATATTAATGGAGTGATAGTTCACAAGTACAGACTCATCATATTTTGTACATTTTAGATATGATTTATTCCACAAACTTTTGAGCTGACGTCATCAAGTTTTTGGAGGGGATAAGCAAATATTTTTTGACTAAAGATTTATGATGCTCTTTATAGCCTTAAAACATCTGCAACATTTCAAAGCATTCTGGTTAGCAGATTAAAAATTAAATTTCAAAATGTTGTTTTATAATTTTGATTTTTTTTCCAAAAATCTGGACGTTTCGGGTGAAAAGTCGATTCAGAGTTGTAAACTACATGTGTAGGACTATGTTATTTTATACAATTGAAAACCCATTTACTATGTACAATTTTGAAGTGACGTCATCGCTTTAGTGGTGGGGATGATTCGACAAATTTTGGTTAGCGTTTTACCATCTACATGATATTCTTAATATAAGTACAAAATTTCACAACAATCGGTCGAGTACTTTCGGAGATTATCTGTCTAATAAAAATCCGTGACAACAGACGGACAGACGGACAGACGGACAGACGGACAGACGGACAGACGGACAGACGGACAGACGGACAGACGGACAGACAGACGGAAATGGGAGACCTATTTCTTCGTCTTCTAGGGGTCATGAAAGATCGAGAAAACGTAAAAGTAGAGAGTCGGCCGACGGACTCGATTACAATACTTCCTTTGCTTACGCTCGGGAAGTAAAAAACCCAAAATTTTGTAACATTTTGCAATTTAACTTTGAAACTACTAAACCGAATGGTCTGAAATCTTGCAAACGTTCACAAAAAAGTTGATGACATATCAAAATTTTGCCGAATAAATCTAAAATATGCAAAATATTATGAGTCTATACTTGTGGTTTATTAATGCATTCATATTCTTTTGAGAATTATTTATACAGGGTGACTAAAAAAATCATGAATGAGGGAAATCAAGAGGGAATCACCTCATTTTCCCGAAAATTTGTTATTATTGGTATTACACTGCACCTATTCAAATTGATACTTATTTAACACTTCTTTAAGATGCTAAAATGTTGATGATGTCATCACAAACTTTTCTTATGGGAAAACTCGCTTGAAACATACGCATGGCATGCTTCTTTACCTATACTTTAACAGTCCACACATATCTTTATTTTAACTTACAGAGTTACCATAAAACAATAAAATTCGCAAAATTAAATTTCATAATTTTTCGATGAATCAGTATTTGTTCGCTTGAACTTCAGGGGAGGGGGGAAGTTCTGTTTAAATTAGACCAAATTTTAAGCACATTGCACACACGATTTAAAAAAAAAGAAATATATTAGATACTACAACCCAAACAATGCAGCATCTGGAAGCAATTTTTTTTAACATTTACTTATTTAACTTTTTTGCACTGACGTTATTATTTTCTAGAGGGGATAAATAAATAAATATTAGTCTTAGTTCTGAAATCGTTAAATTAATATTAGTATTATCTTGCCTAAATTTCAAAAAAACGTCGGTTCTTCTTTTTGAAATCTTGGAGATGTTTTAAAGTTATAATAGACATGGTAAATTTTTCATCAAAATGTATTTGCTCATCCCCCACTACACAAGTCTGTACTTGTGATTTATCCCGGCATTAATATTTTTTAGATTTGCTTATACAGGTGGCTCAAAAAAACTAATGAATGAATCAATTTATTTCCTTTTCCCCGAAAATTTTGGGAATACAATAGTTATTTTTAGTATTAAATGTTTAAAAATTGTCATATTTCAATTGGCGATTCTGGAAAACCGGTTGGACTTAAAAATAAAATTCGCAAAATCAAATCTTATAATTTTTTGAAAAATCTGGTTTTATTTACCCTCGATCAATTTTTTGAATTTTTCGTTTTTCCTTTCTCTTCGATTTTGTAATTTTAAAATTGAAAAATCGAATAATTAAAAATTGAAAACTCGTGAAATTCTTTCTTCAGAGCCAATAAGAATGACTGATGAAAACGGAATAAGGGTGGGTGGGAGGGGCCCCTTTTACTTTGTTTTAAATCTTAAATTCTACCACTTGTTAAAATGGAATTCAATTCACATTTGACAGTAAATAAAATGGAGACAAGAAGTGAGCGGAACTGAGTTTACGGACCCCCTCTTCATTTAAGTGGCTACACTTAATATTATTAAATCTTATCTTGGCAAGTACTCGCCCCGCCCACCCACTCTCTATTTTCTTAGAGGGTATCCGATTTGCCAAAATTAATTTTATCTTAGCACGTACTGTGAAATTTGCTTTCAAATTTTTTTTTTTACGATAATCCGTATGAGTACCACCAAAAATATGGATATATTGTTAAACTCCAAACAATGAAGCAATCATGCCATAAGTTTCAAGCAAGATTTATTGAACACAATTTTGAGCTAACGTCATCAAATTGTTGGGAGGGATGAAAAGATGAATTGGAATTAACGTTTTACCATTTTCACACCTGAAGTAGGATTCAGATGGCGTCGTCAAATTTTTAGTGGGAACAATAACACAAATTTTGGTTAACTTTTGGTTACCTTCCACACGATATTTTTTTTCATAGTCTAGGAGCTACAAAACGTAACGAAGACAGGAAAATAGTTTTACGGAAAGCAAAATACGTTGGAATAGAAGTATTTCCTAAATTTATAAAATATTTTATAAAGTTCTTAAAACAATCTGTACATGTTTATCATTTGAGTCCAGTGTAATCGGTTTATTTCTAGTAATAATAAAAAAACAAGACACAACGGGATGATTCTGGCTCAGTTTATAAAAATTATGCTTCTGTAGAACTTGAGAATAACTATTATTATTGCTGCTTACAGTTCTTTAGTGCTGTCTCGACTTCTGGTGGCGAAGAAAGAATTCACGTCAATGCCGCTGTTACAGTTTAAAAGCATGCAATTGTGGAACTTAAACGTTCCGACGAAGCATGATATCTAAGGAAGAGAATTATTATTTGTTACAAATCGTGCCTTAAAGCACTAAGGATAAATGGCGTCTTTACAAATTATAATTAGTCATTCACTAGATTACACTGTGTTTACGTGATTCGAAACGACAGGTAACACCGTAAAGCACATGTAATTAAGCGCGACATTAGTATAAATGAATTTTTAACTTCAAAATAAAAATACAACTATTGCAATAACTCAAATCAAATACAATAAATTACGTCGATCTGCTGTGACAGATGTTTGAAATGAAGGAATGATGTAATAATGTATCAGTCTTTCAGATGTACAATAGTAAGCAAAATTGTGTTTTTCGAATTGTATTCTTTGCGTCTTTTTTTCCTTTCAACTACGAGCATTAGAACGGTTATGTTTTTATTATAAAATTCCATCTTTTAAAAACGCTGAAACAACTATTTATATTATATATTTCAGCACATACAGTACAAACAAAGTATACAAAAATCCTGAAACAGGTGCTTTTTGTGCTTGAACATTTCGCCATTACTTCTTACTTTGCATATTTTTTAACATATCGTTTTAGGTTTATTGGGTGGGACCAGTACTAGGAGCCGTGCTAGCCGGACACTTTTACAAGAAGGTTTTTTTAAAACAACGAAATTAAAATTTTTGTAATCGTATTTGTAATAAAGCTTGACTTACCATGATGAGGTTATTTAGACTTTTGCTTTGGATTGGCTCATAAACGGTGCTGAGATTTGATCTGTAACAAACACAAATTACGTTAAAAAAGCCAATTATCTCTCGAAGGCCGGATGTGCATTTCATGTACACTGATATAGGCCTTAATGGATGATTAAAACTAATGTGGTGTTTGAAATCCTCTATGCTTTGTAATGAATCACTTCAGACATCAGACACAAAAGCTTCATTACGGTTGTAAGGTCCTGACGTCTGAGTAGATAATTGCACCACTAGGAGAGGAAACTGTTGTGGAGTATTACTCGGATTGGGATTGGTTGTGTTCTTTTGTTCAGCATATTTGCCCAACGTTTATATCACGGGATCAAAGACCAGTAGACGGCAAGTTATCGATTCATCCTCATGCAAAAATTGAAAGGAGTTCCATGTTGCCAAAATTAAGTTTCTTAGAGAGTGAAACTTCGTGATTTATCTTCCGCAAGTCGAGTAAAAATAAATTAGGAGGTCTTTTTCACTCCTCCGTTAATAAAATGGACGTGTTCGTTTAATCTTGGAAATGTCTTCTTATCTGACTGTTTTTTACTTATGCGTTTCCTCTTCACAAGCGATTCGGACAAAGTGATGACAGAAGAATAGTATCAAGATATTTGAAAACTCGCATTTACATTTCTCCAAACACAACAAATACAATCCAATACCACTTTTATTAAAGGCAATTTCCGGGGTGCATGCACCTATTCAATTTTTCCACTATTTTAAAAGCTAATTTATACAAACCTTAAACCCAGTAGTGGGAGTGTCCTTTCTTTTATCATTTGATTATGATCTCGGTACTAAAAGTGGTTTTAAACAGTTTTAGGATACAATAGCACAGCAAGAAACCACTCTAGGAGAAGTGAAATTAAGCGAGGGGTGTTTGAAACTTAATGAAACCTTATACAGTCCTTCGACATTAACGCCGTTTAATACCCTATAAAACTTATAAAAAGCGTCATGGGAGGGAGCCCCACGGTTCTAATGACTCACATGCGGTGTCACATAGGGTGCACCTATTCAGGCTAACAATCTTAAAAAATGAAATGTTGGTCGTAAAATGGATACTAAATAAAATTTTTGACAGAAAAAGAATTTCGACTGGGTTCTGGAGCTACACAATTTACAATGAATAAATAAAAAAGGGACGTGTGAGCTTTTTTGGTGGTGTTTTCAATTTTAAATGACGTTGGAGGCTAAATTATTTTTGTGTCGACAGTGGATTATTGGTCAAAGGGTCTACCGTGTTGTACGTGACTTGCCTTATAGGAACCCTTACTGATTTAGTGTGGTTTTGGTGGATTTCTTTCCGTTTGGTGTAAACACCTAATTCTAAGCGAGGGAGAGATTTTTTCGCTTTTTAAAAGTTTTGTAACGAAAATATTACTTAATTCAACTCTGACACTGTACAAGTCAATGTTTTTATTGTCTTCCGCAATTCTAACAGCTTCGAGTGTATTTTTTTCTGTTTAAATAAATCGTAATCACCTCGAGTAAACAAAACTCGTTAACATGGGAATTCCTTACATTCATTGCCTTCATGACATAGAAAGAATTCAGTGGCAAATCCCTTATTTACGTCGACATCGAAGGCTGACACTTTATCTGTATGCTCACGGTTATCTCGTTTCTCACACCCGGACGTATCTATTTTTCAATAAAATACATAATGCATGGTTCATAATAACGCGATGACATTTCAGCTTCTTCAGGCTGTCGACAAAGTATCATCGGCCTCTTTCTTTCAACTAATAATTAATTTAAATTCTTCAGCTGGTGTCTGGTGTGCATTAAGATAAATAATTGGCATGATTTATGTCCATTAATAATATATGAGCTACTGATAAAAACCCATAATTTCGTATTATTTACATAATAAGCCTGCGATTTGTTGTGGCTGAATAATTGTCTCAAAATTATTCATGCAAGTTTAGGTCAATGAAGTGAGAGAGCTCGAATAGGGGGATTGTCTTTGAAGTTAATCTGCCACGTGTAGAGCATTGAGAAATTAAATATTGACTCTTTTCGCTTCACTCTTTTAGAGCTTTATTGATAGAAACAGTGAGTTGCCTTTTGATCTCGACTTAATTAATTTGGAGTAATTAAGTTAACAAAAGCTGAAAAATGAAACGAAGAAGAATGGGGAATTACCTTCCGGGAAGTGAAATAAGTGGAAATTTTTAAGATGCTAATTTTTTCAATCCAGCCATTAGCTTTATAGATCGTTATTTGCTTTGTTCAGTATTTCAGTGATGTTTAGTCTGAACTGGAGCCTTGTTACCGTTTTGCTTAACTTTAAAACAAATACAGTTCAAAGTAAATATAGCTTTTCTCAAACTCACGACCAGTTCTTAGATATACGGTGCATAATTTGTAGACATAACCAGAAGGTAAATGAAGCCCCCAGCAAACGTACAGGATGTAGTTACTTTAAAATTTCTGCCTGAATAGAAAACAAATTGCAAGATGGGAACTCTGCAGAGTTCGTCATCACAAAACCAGTCGCTGAAAAATGACACCAATTATATGTTTTATAAATGAAACTACCATTTATTAACAGGCTATAAAATAATATTTTCAAATTAATAGGGCTTAAAAATTTCCTGTTAATGATCGTATCGTTAGCAATATATGTATACACTATACAGGGTCGCTAGGATGTATGGAAATGGTTAAATATCTTGAGAATCAGCTGCACAAATTAATTGAAATTAGCAGAGTTAGGCGTAGCCGAAGTGATGGGGAATCAATCAGACAAATATTAAATGCGACGGCGCGACGTCAGGCGGCAAATTTGACTGGTCAACTGTGCACTCTCATCCTCAGTGACGTTTGATGCAGTTCAGACTTTATTCGATCAAGATCATCACGAAAATTGTGATGTTGAACAATCATTTTTAATTTTTAAAGCAATTTTAACATCTAGGAGAACTCGTATAACTCAGGAACCTAGAAAAAGTAGTAATTCTTATTAGAAATTCCCGAAGTTGTAGGCCACGACTGCAATAGCGCTGGTGATCGCACGGCGATGAGCATCACTTCCGCAATGCCGAAGCCTGAAAATTAGGGGTACAAGAAGTTGTGCTCTAATTATTCGTTAAAAACAATTTTTTTGCTTCATTTTTTTCGACATGCAAAGCTAACTTAATTTTTTTTAAATGGCACTACCATATAAATAATGCAATTTTTGAATAGAGCTTTTTTTTTTAATTCACTGATATACATATACTTTCTTTCTGATTGAAATGGCAAAAAAATTATTAAACAATAATTAAATAAATTAATATTAAACAATAAATAAATTAACCAATAACAACCGAAACCAAAAATAAGCTTCTGTTTTCTTTTTATACTTCCTGGAAGTAAAAAAGACGCTGAATAAAATTTTGTAGTGAGTTAATGAGAATTTAATGGATCCTAGCAATTTCGTTACGTATGCGTTCTTGTAAACCTTCAGTGTGAATCGGTCTATTGATATAAACACGATTCTTCAAATAACCCTACAAAAAAAAAGTCAAGCGGTGTCAAATCTGGTGATCTGGCAGGCCACTCAACAGTACCCCTTCGGACTATCCATCTACCAGGAAAAGTTTCTTAAGTACTGTCGCACTTGACGTCCAAAATGGGGTGGAGCATCGACTTGTTGAAACCAAATAGTTACTGCTGGTAACTCCGGGTTTTGGTAATTGGGAAACAATTCTCAATATATCTATATGATCCCGCAACAGCCTTAAGTATCCCTCAGAATTTAAATTCCCATTAATAAGAAAAGGACCAATTAGATGATAACCAATAATACCGCACCAAACATTCAGTTTTTCTGGACACCGTGTGTGGAGTTGCTCCATCCAGTATAGATTTGTGTCGGACCAGTATCTGCAGTTGTGTCTGTTCTCATGACCATTTAAACGAAACGTAGATTCGTTAGGAAACAAAATCCTGTTGATAAAATTTCCGTCTTGTTGTATTTTGTTCATAATAATTTCGGTAAATTCAACTCTACGATCAAAATCATCTTCGTTTAGCTGTTGTACGAAATGATACAGTTTCACCTAGATGCAACACTTTTGCAAGAAAGACCTTACATGTCAAATTAAAATTATTTTCAAAGGTAACTATGTCATCTTTCGTTTTTTATTTATTCTTATTTAAAATAATTTAATTTGCTATTTCAGTTAAAAAGAAAGTATAAACATCAATAAATTCAGAAAAAAAAGCTATATTCAAAAATGCATTAATTATAGTAGCTGATAGTGCCAATTAAAAAAAATCAGGTTGGCTTTTCATCTCGAAAACAAATGAGGCAAACATTTTTTTTTACGAATAATTAGAGCACAACTTCTTGAATCGCTATACCTAATTTCAGTTGATTTGTACAATTGGTTCTCAAGATATTTACATTCATTCTTGCAACCCTGTATATGTTGACTGTACATGACGAGTGTACAATAAAAAATATATTTGGAGCAGGCCTAGGTGTTATTATTTGCCGTTTATTTACAATAGGGTAATTATTTTCATAGACTAAATAGGTAACCGAATATACGTTAGAGAATGCATGGTTTCATCATTATCATCTTAAATGCAGTCGGGTTGACAGATAATTGACATTTGACTTGACAGCATTTTCTAAACTTCGCATCAATTTTTCGCGGTTCGTTGCAATTTCATCTTTTGTTTTGTTTGCGTGATAAAAATAAGTTCTTTTCAGAATTAGTGCGAGTTTTGCTGTTTACAACAGTTTTACTAAGAATAGATTTTTCTGAACAACAAAAAGTACCAACATACTTATGAATTACCATGAATGACATTAGTCTTTCTATTGAAACGGTATAAAATTAGATGGAACTCGACAATACTCAATTGGATGGAAAAATTCCTTGGGCTTGTGTTAAGCTTAGATTGGTCCACTTGACATAATAAAAATTCAATTTTCATCTCAGAGTTAGTAAAATAAGCCATCGCAATTCAGAAAAGGAGATGGGTGGTATTAGTTTTACCTTTCTGTCTAGATTCCACTGTTTATCA